CTAGGCTAATCCTAGTGGTATAATAATTATAAAATTAAAAACCAACGAGGCTTCAACAGCCATATGGTGCTCGTTCTCCTTTTGAAATAACTTCATGGTCAAAACAGCAATTTTACTTGTACAAGAGAGACCCAATACAAATATACTTTAGAAAACAAAACTATCTCATGTTGTTCGTCTGATACTTCAAATAGAAGATCCAATTCATTACCTTTACGATCAGAAAACAAGTGGCTAACTACACCTGATGATAAGGAGTAGAAGTTCATCAATAACAAACTTTCCTCAACCTTTGAATCCTCAACGTAAATTCTTTCATCACAACCACTTGATTCAGCTTCATTTCCTTTATTATCAACATTGCTAAATTTGATGATCTATACTGACATTTCCCAACTCATTGGGACCTCAATTTTCCTAGAAAAGAAGCAAAACGCATGATATCAGTTAGCTTTAACAGTTAGATCTAATAGAACACATCTTAAAGTACTTACCCCTCATTACATTTCTCGCTATAACGACTTATATAATCATTGGTGTCTCTTCCAAATAACCTTCAAGACGCTTAACTAGTTTAGGTATTTCCTGTTGAGGCAGTACATCCCATATCTTTAAAACTTAAGTATACAATGATTCTTTTACTATCTCCCTTGAATAAACAATGTAAAGATCTTCAACTTTGAATTGCTTCAATATCTGTGATGAATTTCCACAAAGTAAGTAAACTTGCATCCATCTAGGTCTCCACCCACTGGAAAGACGGAGGAAAAGCCTAATAACTGACTTCTTTGTCCGCTCTGCTCGTAGTTTTTAAATGATTTTAGGAAGTTATCACTGAAAAGAACCTGCAGAAACGTGAAAGCAGGAATGTGAACTACGGATCAAAGACATGATGAGAATATCAACAACATGAAAATTGAGTATAATTACAAGATCAAGAATCAAAATACCTTCCACATGGAATTTCTATAAAGGACACTATATGCATTAAGTAAATCATCCAATTGATATACCTATTTCTTGGCATTCCCGACACTTTCAGCCATATCCTTGTTGATGGTGATTATTTGAAAGAGATTTGAAAGAGAAAAACACTAATCGAAGATCAGTTTCGTGAGATCTTGAAAAAATTCGAAGAACGAAAGAGAATTGAAAGCGGAATTCAAAGAAGACTCAGAGAGTGCTATACCTTCGCGCTAAGAAGAAATAGAAAGGAGACAATAAAAGAGTTTCAACTGCTTTGTGGGGATTGTGATGTGCACTCTCATTGTGCTTGCGTGGTTGTGAAAAAGTGGGTGTTATTTTAAAGGATATAAAATTGTGTGATTTAGATCCTCTCGTGTGAAAAAAGGTCATGTGATCATGTTATTTGAGACAACAACTCATTTATAAATCATATATTTTGTCTTTCATATCTCATCATCAATGAGAGGAAATGAGTGATTGCGATCAAATAACATGACCAGTTTTTCACATGAGAGGGTCCAAATCTTTGTGGAATTTAGAGTCTCTCATGCGAAAAAGTGTTTATGTAATCATGTTATTTGATCACAACCACTCATTTAAAAGTCATACATTTTTTCTTTCTTATCTCATCATCAATGAGTGAAAATGAGCGGTTGTGATCAAATAATATGACCATTTTTTCACTTGATCACATGACCACTTTTTCATGTAAAAAAGTGGTCAAGTGGTCATGTTTTTTTATCACAACCACTCATTTAAAAGTCATACATTTTTGTCTTTCTTATCTCATCATCAATGAGTGGAAATGAGCGGTTATGATCAAATAACACGACCACATGACCACTCTTTCATGTGAAAAAATGGTCGTGTGGTAGTGTTATTTGATCACAACTGCACATTTTAAAGTCTCACATTTTTCTCTTTCTTTTCTCATAATAAATGAGTGAAAATGAGTGATTCTGATCAAATAACTTGACCACATGATCACTTTTTCACATGAGATGATCCAAATTCAAAGTTGTGTCATTTTAAGTGAGAGAAAAAGATAGATCATATGGGGGAGAGAATGGACAAAAATAATAAAGATGTGGATCTCACTACTTTGTGATAGTAAAATGACACAAGTTGTCTCATTTAAAAGGACAAACAATTTCTCCTGATTCTTATTACATTTGAATTTGTACATTTTGTTTATTAGAGGTTAAAATTTTTCTTCAAGCAATAGATAATTTTGAGTTTTTGAAATTTGTTTCGAAAAATAGTTTTTTCAAGGCATTAGACGCAACGGCAATTAGTTTAGGAAAACAAATTAATGGTGATTACTTGATTATATATTGAAATTTATAAATGGTTTCACCAAAGAAAAGAAAAGACAAAAAAAGAAGTTAAGGGTGTTATAGTAAACTCCAAACCTTGTCCTTGTAAAGATCTTCATAATTATGATTCACCAACGAGGGAGGGAGGTGCGAAGATCCTTGTATTAATAATAGGACATATACCACATTACACACCTCTGCACACTACAAAAACCTCACCCGACTAGGCTAATCCTAGTGGTACAATAATTATAAAGTTAAAAACCAACGAGGCTTCAACAGCCATATGGTGCTCGTTCTCCTTTTGAAATAACTTCATAGTCAAAACAGTAATTTTACCAGTATAAGAGAGACCCAATACAAATGTACTTTAGAAAACAAAACTATCTCATGTTGTTCTTCTTTTGAAATAACTTCATGGTCAAAACAGTAATTTTACCAGTACAAGAGAGACCCAATACAAATGTACTTTAGAAAATAAAACTCTCATATTGTTCGTCTGATACTTCAAATAAAAGATCCAATTCATTACCTTCACGATCAGAAAGCAAGTGGCTAACTACGCCTGATGATAAGGAGTAGAAGTTCATCAATAACAAACTTTCATCAACCTTTGAATCCTCACCGTAAATTCTTTCATCACAACCACTTGAGTCAGCTTCATTTTTATTATTATCAACATTCCTAAATTTGATGACCTATACTGACCTTTCCCAACTCATTGGGACCTCAATTTTCCTAGAAAAGAAGCAAAACACGTTATATCAATTAGCTCTAACATCTTAGATCTAATAGAACACATCTTAAAGTACTTACCCCTCATTATATTTCTCGCTATAACGACTTATATAATCATCGGTGTATCTTCCAAATATACCTTCAAGATGCTTAACTAGTTTAGGTATTTCCTGTTGAGGCAGTACATCCCATATCTTTAAAACTTAAGTATACAATGTTTCTTTTACTATCTCCCTTGATTAAACAATGTAAATATCTTCAACTTTGAATTGCTTCAATATCTGTGATGAATTTCCACAAAGTATGTCAACTTTCATCCATCTAGGTCTCCGCCCACTAGAAAGATGGAGTAAAAGCCTAATAATTGACTTCTTTGTTCGCTCAGCACGTCATTTTTTAAATGATTTTAGGAAGTTATCACTGAAAAGAACTCGCAGAAACGTGAAAGCGTGAATGTGAACTAAAGGTCGAAGACATGATAAGAACATTAACAGCATGAACATTGAGTATAATTACAAGATCAAGACCTGGAATTTCTGTAATGGACACTATCTGCATTAAGAAAATCATCCAAAAGATATAGCTCTTTCTTGGCATTCCCGATACTTTCAGCCATATCCTTGTTGATGGTGATTATTTTGAAAGAGTTTCGAAAGAGAAAAACACAGATCGAAGATCAACTTCGTGAGATCTCAAAAGAATTCGAAGAATGAAAGAGAATTGAAAGCGAAATTCAAAGAAGACTCAGAGAGTGCTTTACCTTCACGCTAAGAAGAAAGAGAAAGGAGAAGAAAGAAGACTAGAAAAGAGTTTTAACTGCTTTGTTGGGATTGTGAGGCGCGCTCTCTTTGTGCTTGCGTGGTTGATGAACGATGAAAAATGGTTTGTAGTTGATGAAAGAGAAAAGATGGGTAAAGGAAAAATGGGGCAAGAAATTTTCCGTCGAAGGGCATGTGCTTGCATGAATGTAACAATTACGATGCACACTTTCCTCTGGTACAACTTGTGATTGTGATTCACCAACGAGAGAGGGAGGTGCGAAGATTCTTGTATTAATAATAATTTTTAGGGAAAAGTGAATGTAATTTTAAAGGATATAAAGTTGTAGGATTTAGATCCTCTCATGTGAAAAAATGGTCATGTGATCATGTTATTTGGTCACAACCACTCATTTATAAATCATACATTTTTTCTCTTTCCTATCTCATCGTCAATGAGTGGAAATGAGTGGTTGTGATCAAATAACATGACCACTTTTTCACATGAGAGGATCCATATCTTTGTGGGATTTAGATTCTCTCATGTGAAAAAATGGTCATGTTATTTGATCACAATCACTCATTTAAAAATCATACATTTTTTTTTTCTTATCTCATCATCAATGGGTGATTGTGATCAAATAATATGATCACATGACCACTTTACCACATAAGAGGATCCAAATCCCCATACTACATAGTGTAATTTGTAAGTTTATAAATAAAAAACTTTATCAATATAACTTTCCCTTAACTTTCAAATCAGGATAAAAAAGTTGAATTCAAAGAAAGAAAGGGAATGTATCCACTTACCATCAAAATGTTTACTACTATTACAACCAATTTAATCACCATTGATTTTCGTCAATCTAACGGTTATAATATATTGAAAATTAATAACATTTATTGTGTCACAATTATTAATTACAAATAAATTATAACCGTTAGATTGACAAAAATTAATGATGATTAAATTGGTTGTGAGAGTGATTAACTTGTTTGATAGTAAATATATCCTCTCTCTTGCAGAAAAAGTCAACTTTTGACAAAACCAATTTTTTAAATAAAAAATTCAATTAGGACAAAATCGTATGAGTTTTAAATTCGTTAACTTTTGAATTCAAACACCCACAACCCAAGAAATTCATCTTCCCGAGCCAGCCAACTTTGAAAAGAGAAAAATAGAAAACATCAATCTGAAGTTGTGCTCCGAGCTGAAACAATGGAAGCAACATGTGCTGTAGTGCCCTCTGTACAGGAAATAGCAAAGGAGACATTGACTAGAGTTCCAGAACGTTATATTCGACCACAACATGAACGTCCAACATTATCTACCAATTTTCCTTTACCCCAAGTTCCTGTCATTGACTTTAGCAAATTGTTGTCCCAACATCTCAAGGGACCTGAATTGGAGAAGTTACACTATGCCTGCAAAGAATGGGGTTTCTTTCAGGTTTCTTATCTAACTTCTAGTTCCTTTTTGGCTTTTGTTTCTTCTCCCTTTCCATTAAAATTTTTATTTTTAAAAATAATGAACTGAATGATTTACCAATAACTCTGTGGTGTTGACTAATTATTATAGCTGATTAATCATGGAGTCAGCACTTCATTGGTGGAAAGTGTGAAGACAGGTGCTCAAGAATTCTTCAATCTTCCAATGGAAGAGAAGAAGAAGTTTGGGCAGAGAGAAGGAGATGTGGAGGGATATGGTCAGGCCTTTGTAGTCTCTGATGAACAGAAATTAGATTGGGCAGATATGTTTTTCATGTTCACTTTACCATCACACAAAAGGAAACCCCACTTGTTTCCCAACATTCCCTTGCCTTTCAGGTTCTCCATTCTCTCTAGTCTCTATCTCTCATATGAGCATACTTTTCTCACTGCTTTTGTTTTGGTATATTACAATTAGCAAAATATGATAGATCCAGGGGACTTTTAAGAAAAGGGTAGATGCATTTGTATCAACAACTCTAAATTTTTTATATGCATAAGCTGTTAGATGCAAATTGATCAAAAACTAAGATCGAGAGTAAGACTTTTATATTTATATTGGTGTAAACTATAATATTATATCAGTGTTCATAATGTTATTACTGGCATGACTGTATCAATTCAATCCTGTTGTTTTGTTAAAAGAATGTAAGAACATTAGTACAAATTGTATAAAAGTTTGAAGATTGCTATTGGGTTTTATAATGTAAAACATATTGATTATTCTTGTGGATGATGTGATATCTTCATTTGGTTGCAGAGGTGATTTGGAGGCATATTCTGCAGAATTGAGAAACCTAGCGATACAGATCCTTGATCTTATGGCAAATACCCTTGAAGTAGATCCCATGGAAATAAGAGAGTTATTTGGTGAAGCGGAGCAATCACTGAGGATGAATTATTATCCACCATGTCCCCAACCAGAGCTTGTGATAGGACTCAATCCTCATTCTGATGGTGGTGGCCTAACTATTCTTCTCCAAGCCAATGAAGTGGAAGGTCTTCAAATAAAAAAAGATGGACTGTGGATTCCTGTTAAACCCCTCCCTAATGCTTTTATCGTCAACCTTGGAGACATGTTGGAGGTAATTATTGGTTCTTTTGACATTTAGCTAGATCAATTCTTAGTTACTTCACAATATTATAAATGGAGATCATTGTTCTTGGAAAAATGTTCTTCAGTGGCAAGGATTTTCTAACCTCTTTCAGTCCTTGTAAAAACTGCTTTAGCCTTATCTTCCCCATTTGATTTGGCAGATTATGACAAACGGAATTTACCCAAGCATCGAACACCGAGCAACAGTTAACTCGGAGAAGGAGAGGCTTTCCATAGCCACATTTTACAACCCTGATATTAATGCAATTATTGGTCCAGCGCCAAGCCTTGTAACTCCAAAATCACCAGCAGTGTTCAAAAGAATTAGTACAGGAGAATACTTCAAAGGATACCTTGCACAAGAACTCCGTGGGAAATCATTCCTTGATAGCATTAGGATTTCAGCTGAAAATGAGAAAAGCTCTTAGAACTTTACAATAAATTTTAACATATGGTACAAAAGCTTCTATATTTAGCATTGCTATTGACTTCAGCTGCAGTTGAACGAGTCACAGCAACAGCTATCGTGTATTTTCTTTACTTTATTTTAGTGCTTATTGTGTACCCAATAAATTGAGGCTATGTCTGGCCACTATATATGACATTATACAATTCTGTGTTTGTTGGCAGATTGTCTACCACTAGCTAGATTAGATATGATTTAAAAAGGACCGTATTCGCTTAAAATTAATTTTTAACTTGCTGTTAGGATAGGGGGACAAAAACACACTCGCGTGAATGGAATCAAATGTATATTAATTTTTTTCCTTGGTTTACTTTTTAACAAATCATTTAAAAATAAAATATAATTTGTTTCTCTGGCCGTATCTGTATCTGAGAGCTGTAAGTTGGTCTAATATTATATATAGGGGAAGAATTCGTTTATAAATTTTTGCAAATTATATTATGTATTCCCGAAAATATAACCTAGTATACTTCGGGTAGTACATAATGTAATTTATAAGAGTTTGTAAATAAAAAGTTTGTAAATATAACTCGTTACTTATGTATGTATATTATTTATCATCCCAAGCAAGAGTTCGAAATTGAACTGAGAAGAAAAAAACCATCTGACTGTGTTCCTTGTTGAAAGTTGGAACTATGGAAGCAAGATCTGTTCTGGTTCCATCTGTCCAAGAGCTAGCAAAGGAGCCATTGACCAGTGTTCCAGAACGATATGTTCGTACATATCACGATCTTCCAATAGTATCTAACACTGCGTCTTTACCCCAAGTTCCAGTCATTGACTTAAGCAAATTGTTGTCCCAAAATCTCAAAGGACCTGAACTAGAGAAGTTACACTATGCCTGCAAAGAATGGGGTTTCTTTCAGGTTTGCCATCTATCTAGCTTCCCTTACCTTCTTATTCTCTTAGCCTTCGGTTTTTCCATTTGATAGGTAGAATTATCTAAATCAGACATTAGTGTTTAATTAATTACTTTGATCATTATTCATTTTAGTACTGTTCAAGACCATGTTCCATTTAGTACTTCCTTTTAGTGTAGTTGTAGTAGTTGGCTGCTACTGCTAAGCTCTAGAACTGAATACTTTGCAGGACCATGTTCCATATATATGTCTATAATAGATATGTTTCTCCTTTGGATGTAGACATAGAATACGATTTTAATTATGGTGCAAATGATTTAACCAACTCTGCTGTTTTGGCTAATATGGGTACAGCTGGTTAATCATGGAGTGAGTACTTCATTGGTGGAAAATGTGAAAACAGGTGCTAAACAATTCTTTGATCTTCCTATGGAAGAAAAGAAGAAGTTTTGGCAGAGAGAAGGAGACATGCAGGGATTTGGTCAGTCCTTTATTTTCTCTGAGGAACAGAAACTAGATTGGGCAGATATTTTTTACATGATGACACTTCCATCTTACATAAGGAAACCTCATTTATTTCCCAACATCCCCCAACCATTCAGGTCGCTTTCTACCTTTGTTGTCTCATTTGAATGTTTTTTCTATCTTTCTGTTTTTTACATTTTCAATTTGAATACTATGATAAATTGGTAGGGATTTTCAAGAACACTTCAATTGCAAAGAGTCAATATATATTAAAATGTTGTTTGACCTGAAAAGTAAAAAGCATCAGATTAATACACATGATCAGATTGATACAACGTTGGGAGAAACCCATTTTTATCAAAGGGGGTTTCCAAAAAAGGCCACTCCATACGATCATAATCTTTGGACCTGCATGAAACAACCCCCCAAAAACCCCTTTTTCTATGTTTTCATATAGTGGAAAATGTCATAAGTAAAGAGTATTATTATTATTAGTAATCAATCAATTGGCCACAAAAGAAATCTGATGATCACCAAAATGCCAGGTAAAATTAATTTCAACCAATTTGTAATGGATTTGGTAGTAAGCTTAAACGACCCTCTTTGTAAATATACAAGGTAAGACTACTTACAAGATTTGTCCTCATCCCTATTATAATAGTCCTAACCTAATTAATTAGTAAATTAAATGTGATTGAATAATTAAGCATGTAATGGTGAGTAAAATTACATTTAGGACCTAATTAAGTGAATTTGGGTCACTTTTGGGGTAAAAAGTGTACTCAGTGAAAATTAAGGAGTGTAAATAGGTGTAGACAAAAGTACCCAAAATATAAAAATAAAAGTGGAAATATTCCTAGAAAAATATTTCAGACATTTGGGTAAATTTTGGTAATTAATGGAGTTAAATAGATAGATGAACCAATACCCACTTGATCCCACTTAACTTATGTTAAGTGACTATACAACACAAAAAAAGAACCCAAATCCCTTCCCCAACCCGTCGTGCGCCAGAAGAGAGAAAGAAAAGAAGGAAGAGAGGAGAAGAAGAGAAGGAGAAGAGAAAGGAAGGGGGGAAACCCTAGGTTGAGCAAACCTTAGCCAAATTCATTCATTCCAAAGTCTAAACCACTCCAAATATTCCCCTCTTTCACAATCAAAGCTTGGTTTTGAGTGGGAGTCTTTGTGGAATGAGATTTCAACCTCCAAAAATCCGAACCTTAGGAAAAAGTGAGGGAGTTGTTGGCTTCTACCTCCATGGAAGCTTGAGGAACAACCATTCCTTGTTGTGTGATCCATTGTGGTGAGTTTTCCACTCTCTTTCACACAAATTCCTTGAATTTTGCATGGTTTAGGTTTTGATGAACAATGTTTTAGGAGTATATGAAAATGTGAGTAAATTGACTATGGTTTAGGAGAATTGAGACTTAGTGTATGTTATGAAAAATGCTAGGAATGACATACAATTGGTGAAAATGGGCTTAGATAGTTATATGACTACACTTTGAAAATTGCAAGAATATGATACTTGATTGTGGGTTTTCTTGCCATTATGATCAATGGTTGGGTTGAATAATAAGTGTGTCCATGTGATATCTAGGATTGAGGCATTTGGACCAACCGTGAGTGATCAACCATTGGAGCAAACTATAGAGCTTGATTAGCTCTTTGGAATAGGTAAGCTCATGTTAAGTTATAATGTAGGGTTGTTATCGTATTGATGGATATCTAAATATTCATTGGATTGCATGATTGATGTTGTGACACCTTGATGTAGGTGTGTACTCGGCAAGTTAAAATTGAAATCAAAGTTGACTGGTTGTAGAACCTGTTGGTGGTGAACAAAGGTTGAACGGAAGCTTTGAGGTAAGCCTTCGGACCTTGGGTATAATTCCCTTGATTGTTCCACCAAGCCCTGATTGGGTAGTGGTTGTGATAGTGTATATAAATGCAATGAAATAGTTTAATGCTTTGTTATACGTATGTGTATGCTTTGGTGTGGCATAAGATGGTGTTTCCCTATGTTGGTATGTTGCATGACGATGCGTAAATCATACTTGGTAGTTTAGCTGGCCAGTAGGACTATTTGCATCTGAGTATCCTTAGGACAGCTTGAGAGCTCGAAGGATTTCTCCTGGAGATGTTGTTTACACACTGCATGGATATGTATTTATTGCATTATTATTGTTATTGCTATTACACTGTGATTGAACTATGGGGTGGAGAGATGCTCCAAGGACCCCTGGTTTACTGGATATATTCGTATATCTCACCCCGTGTTGTGGGGACCCCCTTTCAGGAAAGGATGCTGCAGGAGCCACCAGTGGCAAGTGGCCGTATTTGGATTAGTGATGCATGAGGATGTTGCACTTTTGGGATTATGTATATGACATGTAGAAATATCATGTATAGGATTTACATTTGAAAGCAAATCATCACATGTATATCATGCTTTATTGGATGAACTTAGCCTATGCTCATTTCTTGTGGTATCTCTTTGTTGTTGGGAACCAAGGTGATGATCATAGTATTTTGAAGCTAAGTCTCATTATTCTGTAATTAAGATGTGTTGTAATAGTGTAAGTGAAGAAGACATATGTATGCATGTTATTTTGTAGTGAAAGTATCTTGCAAGAACTAAGAATTATTTATTGGAAATTTATATGTTGTCAATTAGGTTGATAATCCATGTAAAAACAAAGCTATCATGTCCGGTTGACCAATTTTCATACCCTATATGATGGAATTGGACCTTGATGTCTTTATGGAAGTTGTAGACATTTCTCTTAGCTTTCCATAGAGACCAAAATGGTGTAATTTGAGTGAGTGTAGATCAAGTTATGGGGTAAACATCATAGATAGGTCAAATCATTTTTTTTGGGCATCCAGCCCTGTGGGTGGCGCTTGGGGCGCCAAAACCGACGCTGAGGGCGCCAATTGGCCAGACGAGACAGTAGCATACACGCTTGGGGCGCCACTCCCACGCTGGGGGCGCCAACCTTCTGTTTTCCCACGCTAGGGGCGTAGGGGTCCTGGAGATTTTGCATCCCTTTTCTTAGAAAATGCATAACTTTGGCTACGGTGCTCCGATTTGAGCGCGGTTTGAACCTACGCGTAGCTAATGAAAAATCCTATAACATAGTAGAAGATGGGAATCATAAAATAAGTGTAGAATTAATTTGATAATTAAAGAGATGAAGACATTTAACGACGTATTGTCAAATAAAATGGGATTATAATATTAAGTTTAGTCCCACTATTCCGGGAAGCATATATGGTTATGATCACGCACTTGGTTATTTTAAATCCGGCTTGTTTAAAAAGGAAAAAAATTTATCCGGTTTTCTAATTGAACCAATGTGATTGTAACTGCGCTTAATGCCGTACGTAATGGGGTGTTACACCTATACTCATTAGTCAAGGTTTAATGAGGAGTAATTTTTTTTTTTGGTAGTAAGCCTAAAAGTCACAAAGGCGTGAAATCACATGGATATACTCTGTGATTCTGAACATTGAGCAATGTTTCCAATGTTGGGTTTTTTCCCTTCAATACTGCACAAGGCCCAATGTTACTTTTGTGAGGCTCAAGAAACTTGGGGGTCAAGAAACCCTAGTCCTTGTTGTTCATATTCTAGAATTTTCCCTCCTCTCCTATATAAGCTTGTGGTGTGAAAGGTTAGGGTTAGAGAGTTAGACAATTTTGAAAGCACCTCTAGGAAGAAGCTTCAGTGTTAGACCTCCTTAGAAAAGTTTGAGAGAATACCACCATTGAAAGTAATGTTTGAGTGTATCACTATTTATTGGTGAAGTGTGATCTATTGTAACTCATTATTTTCATAGTGAAAGTTTGATTCTGGATTAGTGTCCCATGAGTTTTTACTTTTTCACATTGGAGAAGGTTTTCCCACGTTAAACATCTTGATTGTGTTCTTCTCTTGTCTCTCTCCTCTGCATTTTTCTATTTTTGCTATGAACTGGCTGACCTGGTGATTCAGGCCGACCTCTGATTGTGAATGCCAAGCTCCAAGCTTGACGATTGACTTGCGACACGCTTCCGTGCCGAGTTGAGGGAACCGTGTTCCCAACATCCAACACATCACCTACAATTGTGTCACAATTCACAAAATTTCTGTTAGAACAAAGCCCGAATCCCATTAGGCCTAGGCTCCTTTATTAGATGCACATATTTTAGACATTGGACCTCAGCCATCGTAAAGTCTGTGCTTAAACTAGACTTCTTATCTTATGCTAAACGCTTGTTTATACCATTTGTTACATGATTAATAAATTCTCAAACCTACTTAATATTTATGTCATGACTTCATAATCTTTGTTCGAATGCAGAGATGATTTAGACACCTATTCTGCAGAATTGGAAAACCTCGCCATCAAAATCCTCGACCTGATGGCAAAGGCTCTTGCAATAGACCCCAATGAAATTATAGAGCTATTTAAGGAAGGAACTCAAGTAATAAGGATGAATTATTATCCACCGTGCCCACAACCCGAGCTTGCCATTGGCTTAAATACTCATTCTGATGCTTCTGGCCTCACCATCCTTCTCCAAGTCAATGATATACAAGGCCTTCAAATAAGAAAAGATGGAATGTGGATTCCTATTCAACCTCTCCCTAATGCTTTCATCATCAACATAGGAGACACTTTAGAGGTATTTGACCAAAAATATTTACAACTTTTTGTCTGAAGTCTCATTTGACAATTAACTAAGTCCTTGGTTCATTAGTAGTTACCTTGCACCATTGTAATATGAGAATAGGCACTTAAGAAGCATCTTTATTTGTAATGATTTTTTGACCTTTTTAATGATCAAGAATAGTAATCAATTGGCTTCCCAACATGGCTTTGCAGATGATAACAAATGGGATTTACCCGAGCATTGAACATCGAGCAACAGTTAACTCAGAGAAGGAGAGGATTTCCATTGCTACCTTTTATGGCCCTAACAGCCATGCAACTATAAGTCCAGCACCAAGCCTTGTTACTCCAGAAAGACCAGCACAGTTTAGAAGTATTAGTGTTGCGGAACACTTTAAAGGGTACTTTTCACGAGAACACCATGGTAAATCATACCTTGATGAAATGAGCATCCAAAATGAGAATGCTAAAATCAGTTAGAAAATGTGTTGTAAACACAACAATAAAGCATATGGTGCTAAAGCTTCTGCAATGTGTCTCCTCATAAACTTATTAATTTCTGGTGTCACAATCTCAAAAGCACTGTTGTATGTGGGTTAACCAAACACAGCATTTCTTCTATAATTTCTATGTCCTTTTTACCTAGTAAACTGCAAATAAGTCTGTGTTGAATTATTAATTTCAATCAATCAAGCATTAGTTTGCATTCACTTTCAATCTGTTTCCCAATTAAATTTAAACCACCAAATTTTAGGTGGTTTTTGTTAAAGAGATATAATATAAAAACTATTAATGTGCTTTCTCTTACAAGTTTAAACTTTTGTTTGAATTGGTTATTTATATAATATTAGAGCCACATTACTAACTGGTCATAATTTCAATTCTTACCGTCCAATTCTATTAATAAAAATAATTAAATATTTCTTAACATAGGTACGTTGAGTTTCATACATCATCCACCCATTAAGCTTAATGGGTTTTTGTGAAAGGGGATATGTAATATGTTAGAGAAATATAAAATCATTAATGTAACATCACTCAATAGCTTAAGCTTTTAGGTTGAAATGATTCTTTATATGATACAGAGCCTCCATAATCACAGGGTCATGAGTTTGATGTTCACCGCCCTTCATTTTCTAGTGGAATTAAATTAGCACAAGGTATAATCAAAAACTGGGCTTGCCATTATCCACATTTTAAGCCCAAAACGCTCTTGCGTGAAAGAGTCTTTTAGAAAGATATAATATAAAAATCATTGAAAGCTCATCACTTACTAACTTTAAGATTTTAGATTGAATTGACGTTTTATAATTTTGAAATGAAATTAGCATCTGTTCATGACATTCATAGAGAGCTTAAACAAGCTTCTTCCTAAAAACCGTTACTGATGAAAGCGGTTATTGGACTAATTTTTGCACAAACGAGCAAACTCAAATTACTAAGGTAGTACAACATCTATTAGTGATAAAAAGCATTGTGGTTCTACAATAAAGGTATTTTTAAGTTATTTTTTTATGCTAATTGAGACTAAAATTCTCTCATTTTAGGTTACCAAAAAAAAAAAATCTCTCATTTTATATTTGTATTTAAAATTTTTAGTTACTAAACTCATCTGTTATTGACACGATATCAAGATACTCACAAGCAATCATGTATTGCTGTGATGATATCAAAACATTTGTATCTTCAAAACGTTTGTTTATCACGAGCTCTATTCACAATCTCCCTATTTGTGGTTGGTAAACCGAGCAATTTGAGTATTGAGTTACATAAGCTGCAGTATATAATGAATGTTTACTAATTAATATTAATATTTATAGATACACATACCTATTGTCTAACCCCAAACTCAGAACTTTGGGCCTTTCTAAGTAATTGCAAATACAAACTATGGTCTTTGAGGAGGAGGAATTATGATATAAAATTTGGGAAATAGGTTCTTATTTTACATAAGAAAATTTTCTCATGCTATACTCACAATACATGAGTGGGTTCTATATTGACTTTTTTGTCTTCTCACATTTTTGTGGACTCCACTCATGTATTGTGAGTGTAGCATGAGAAAATTTTCTTATGTAAAATGAGAAAATTAATTCTCATAAAATTTATAACAAAACGTACTTGTGTAAAACTCTTTGGGAGGGGTTTATGATATTATTGTGTGATAAAAACTTAACGTGTATATATTTTTTAGTTTACATCAATTGTGAGAATTTTAAAATGGACATTGAAGTGATGAAAAAAATAATGAATATATATTATTTGAAAAATGGTGTCATAAGGAACTTTATCTAAATTTTATCTTATTATAAAGCAATTATTTTAAATGTACAGAGCTATTCACATGTATTGAAAAATTTCATTATTTAATTATCTTAATTAATCACATTAGTGATAAAAATACACTTGTGATCACTTGATCGTAAAAGACGTAATACCATATAATAGAATCAATCCAATCTAACAATTTTTTTTTAAGTAAACTAGAGGGGCAAAGGCCCAAAAGAAACTACAAAGAAAAATAATCTGAATCCAAAATAAGATTCAACGCAGAGGGAGCATAAGGCAACATAACAAAAGATTCCCTAGCAATAAAAGCTTGCTTTGCAAGATGGTCAGCACCTTCGTTGCATTCTCTACTCACATGCACAAATTCTATTGTCCAAGCTCTATTAACCCAGCTCTTAATGTTGTTTACAATCCCACGCCACTTGCACACCAATTAAGATAGCCCAAAGTTCTGCTATTAAGAGAGAGCCAGCTACCAATCTTGTACATAAAATCAGATAACCAGCAGCCATGTTCATCTCTTATTATGGATCTCATTGTTGCGCCATCTCCAGAAGAATCAAACAGTGGTAGTGAATATGTCCTTCCAATACAACAACTGACAAGTAGACCATCCTAACAATTTAAACTAATAGAAAAAGGGTTTTCATTTTATCCTTTAACATGACACAACAAACTTTCCTACTCTCACAATATTTTGTGGGGCCCACACTTTATAAAACAAAAAAATAAATAAAAAATTAAAGCACGCAAAACGAATATCTATAACATTATATAATCACTTTTCCTACAACATAACTCTTATAAAAACCCACAGAAAAAACCACTTTAATAGTTTACCAAAAAAAAAAAAAAAGGCCACTTTAATATTCTTATATTAGTATCTTTAACTTTTATAATTATCAATTCTTTGTCCATCAACAATAAGAATATTAAAATGTCTTTTCAGAGAGGACTTACTGCATATTTGGTTTTAATTGATTTTACAAAAAAAAAGTTCAAGAGTTTTCTTAATGAATTTTTAATTATAATTTATTTTGAACATAAAATAAATCAACCTAAACACCAGATACTTTTTTATTGCTAAACGAGAAAAAAGAAGAAGAAGAAAGAAGGTTATTACCAAGAGTTTTCTTAACTATGACTTTGTTTTACTGCTAAATGAATGATGTTGATTCAATGGTTATATTTATTTCTATATTTATATGGATATATTTTCTTTCACATTAAATACAGAGAATCTCAATTATAAAAAGTTAGAAGTAATTATAAAATATTAAATATATAGAAAAGGAAAAAAAAATTAGATAATTAAATTAGAACCATGGGATAAACACGATTGATCTAACTATAAAATAAAATGGCAGTCACATTCATAATAATATTAATTAGGAAAAAAATATTTTTCAGCTAATGCAGATAAATTATTTGTATTTGTTCTCAAAACGATGTCATTTTGATATTGAAATTTTAAAAAAATTAAATATAAAAATTATTATAACCCTAAAATAAATTAAAATTATAAAAATACTATAATTTCTATCTTAAAAAAACTCAGTGCAGATAACTTATTTCCAATAATTATTTACATCAGCGAAAGTAACACTGTTCAATCTCTTTTATTATTATTTTTATTTTTATTTACAACAGGAGAGGAGAAAAGAATTTGTATAGGAGCAGTGAGCAGGTGCAGGTGTTGGTGAATGGTGATGCAGACACAGTGGAACCTCGATAAAAGGGAAGAAACGGAAATTTATGAAAAAAAAAAAAATTGTATATTTAAGAAAATGTTAAAGTAGTACTAAATATGGATGTTGTAACCTTCGGAATCATAATCGCCGTTATCATCCTCTTCTTAGTAATTGTTTGCTACATCACCATCGAAGGTACCTGCAAGACACGCTCTTAGGTTGTCCTGCTCCTACTTCTTCTACTGCTGCTACTACTGTTTGTTGCTACTTTCTATCTCTCAATTCATGGCATTGGGTAGAAAGCGTCTTCAATTGACATTGCTCCTTCTGGGTTTGGTTCTTGGGTCCTGTTTGGATCTGGGAACAGGGAATCAGGGTCACTCTCATTCTTCTGGTTTCTGTGCCCATCATGACCATGAACCCCATGACCACGACCATAAGTGTGGAGAAGGGCATGACCATGTTCATCAGAAAATTAGTAAAATGACTTTTGGGTCGGAAGAGGAGGACGAGGAGGATATGGAACTATACGAATTTGGTTCACCACATCACCATGACCATGATCATGATCATGAGCACCACCACTCCATTGGGGATACAGACCTATCCGGTTTAGGTATTTCATCAATTTTAGCTCATGCATCCTTCACCATTAGTTTTTTTTTTTTTTTTTCCTGCTGTTTATGAAATGGGTCAGGGTAATGACTTGTTTAGCAGATTTTAAGTTTCTCAAATTTGGAAATTGAATAAATGTTAGCCATTTGTTCAGTGGCTTAATGGATGGAAGATTGTTGAAGTCAATAAGAATCTTCAGATGGTCAGACATACCATTGGAAGTGAATATTAGAAGCTCTTAGGGGTGTTATGGTCCTAGCTGAGATTATATTAAATGAAGCAGGATGCTTTGTGAATTAGGGATGTAAATTAGTAAAGATTTTGTCCTGAGCTTATTTTCTTGCTGAGCTTGTAATCATTATAGACTTGAAATTATGAAGTCCTGTATCTTGTGCGTTTTCTTATGTAGCTAGTTAATTTCTTTCAGCTCAGCTATTTGCCTATTAGCCTTTAGTTTTTCCTATTAATTAATGTTATATATTATGAGTTGAGTTGCTAACCACATAGAAAATTATGGAGCCAATCCCTGTATTGACTATTGAGGATTAAAGGACCAAGTTTGAAATGTCACCTGGTGGGATGAGGCACTACTTGCTTGCCTCCAATTAGCTGGATTTCCAGGATGCTGAAGATCTGTTTATTTAACTGAGTCCTGTTTAGCAGATCACGCTTAGGGTTTTCCTTGTCCTACAGAGGCACAATTTGAGTAATTCAACTTGATACATAAACCAGTTCTTCAGCACTTCAAGTTGAATGCTCTTTTGCCCTGCTAAGCTTGGGCATATTTCTGTTACTAAAAGCTGCTGCCTTTAAGTAGACCTTTCATTAATACAAATTTAGTGACAGGAAAAAAAAGTTTCATTCATGATTACATTTGGAAACCATTGCTTTTTTTATATGAAGATTAAGATTGGGTTTCAAATATTTTTCGCAAAAGAAATTTCTAACTGAATGCTGAGTTCCCTTGTAGCACCTCTTATATCTTTGCATAAAATAATGGAAAATAATAGCGTAAGATGTTGTGTTAATGCCATCCTTGCTTGAGGGAAGCTTTAATCTGTGGTTTGTCTGTTCCAGATTTGACATTTATATAATTTATTTATTTTTTATTTTAGGCCTTTGGTTGAATGCGTTGGGCTGTTCATTTCTTGTGAGCATGGCTTCTCTTATCTGCTTGATTATCCTGCCTGTAATCTTTGGTAAGTAATTTGTTTGTCTTCTTGTGCATTACAAATTGTTCATTTCTCAATATGAAGGGCCTGCTTACAGTGCACAAAACTGAAACCTCTCGGTTCTTCACCTATTTCAGTACAAGGGAAACCATCCAAGGCTTTTGTTGATTCATTGGCATTATTTGGGGTCAGGTTTCTTCTAGCTATGCTTTGGTTTCACACTTTCACTATCTTAGATTCTCTTTTGATTGCTTTTCTTTCACTTATGTTTATCATCAAAATTAATAGTGTTATCCCATGTTTTATTTTCATTAAGTTATATGGTTAATGCTGCTTATGAATTAAGTTTGGAAAATGTGCAGCAACTCAATAGTCACTTTCTGTTGAGTGTGTGGTTTGTGAATTTGATAGGAACTGGATCAGATCAAAGAAAGAAAATGGTATATATGATGTATATGATATTATCACTGCTGCTAATGATATCAGTGCGATGTCAGTGCCAGTACCATGGGTTTTACAGACAAAGCAATGAACAGAAACTAGGGAAAAACGGTCATTATATCTGCTAGGAATTCGAGAGGCCCTGGTCTCTCGAACTCTCTCTACTCAGTTCTTTCTTGCCGTTTCTCTTTTCTCTCCTCCCCTTTTACCCTCCCACTTTCTGGTCATCATGGGTATTATTCCTCTTTATTTCCTTGTTATGGCATTTAATAACTTCATGGTTTGGAAGCTCATGAGTGCTGGCATGTTGCTAACTACGAAAACTTACTTTCTGTCAGTAAATTAGTTCAATATCTTCTGTTTCTTCTTTTATTTCTTGTTCACATTTTTTACTTCATCCTCATTAACCATGCCTTTTGCAGGCAGGAGCCATGTTGGGGGATGCTTTTCTTCACCAATTACCGCATGCTTTTGGTATGAAATGCATCAGAACCTATCTTCAGTTCAGTTAATGCCTTTGTTGATTAATTTTGTATCAATGGAAGCATGCTGAGCAGTTTTGGTAAAATATCCTCCTCCCCAAAAAATAAGAGAGAGTGAGAGAGAGAAATACTGAAAAGAAACCTGCTTTCATTATCAATTTATCTGTTAACTTCATGTAGATTTTGGTGCAAGAGTTTCTTAGGATGCTTATGTACATTTAAACAAGGATTAAGGATTTAGGGTATTGGATGCTGTTTACTTTGGACCATAATATATTGTGCACTTTACTTTTGAAGCATGTTTCCATTTCTGATCTGCTGAGAGACTGGACAACCTTGCTGTGTTCTTGATTGAGCTGATTTTCTCTATTTCCTTCTTGTTTTTATTCCTTTTTTGTTATGGAGGATATCTTATCCTTTCCCTAGTTTTGCTATTCATTTCTCTTTCTAATAATATTTGTTTTTCAATTAAAAAAAATGTTATTTTGTATACATAAATACGATTCTTTTTGATATAAGGCGGTGAACACTCCCATTCTCACGGTAGCCATGCAGACCATGGCCATGATGCTAGTTCTGGACATGGACATTCACATTCTTTAGCTGATCTTTCTACTGGAATATCCATTCTAGGTTAGTAGTGATGTGATATGCTCGATGCTTCTTACTTACCATGTTGATTATTCACCTTGCACGGATATGTTGAATTTTTTGCTTCCTTTTCTTCAACTGAGTAATTGCTTGGAATAAGTATATGTTTCTTTATTTTATTCAGCTAATTCCTGGGCAAAAGGAAGTTTATTATATTCTTTTGTTCGTTATGGTAGGATAGAATACTGTTTCTTTCTTGAAGAGCAGACAGTGGTGATCATCTTTCAGTGTGTGGAATACATGTCTTATATACATTATTTTAGCAATTTCTATTTCTACCTCTGCTAAGTAAATTAAAAAATAGTGACAAAAACTCAGACTGCTTTTTATGTCTTTACATTCATGCTACTTTTCATCTTCAAGGAAAATAGTTCCTCGTCTCTATTGAGAATTCCTTGGCTTTAGATCTGTTTGCTTGTGAAATGTTGTTTATACAAGTCCTTTTCTTGGATTCAATTTCACAATTCTCTTGTGAGAAATGTTATTTTTGTGGTTTTGGATCTGTTTTCTTGTGGAGTAGTAAATAATTTTGTGTCTTACTTTTGGGAAACATTTGATAAAAAAGTTCAACAGTTACTACCTTGGGCACATGATTTTTTATTCTTATCCAAGAGTGAAAGCTTAACAATTATGGACTGAACTACTTATGTTTTAAGATTTGATCTCAAGGCTTGGAATGCCCTTATGGTAAGCAGAAAAAATAACGAGAACGAGAAATATGGCATGGATTATAGAATTGATCATAAGATGCTTTGCCACACAAAAAGCAAAAAAGGAAAAGAATGTAAAAGTTAGTTTTTATTTAAACCAATGCTTTATGACTTTATTGCACTGGCAGTGAAACTCTTCCCACTATTAGTAAACTAGCAGGTTCCACATCATTGTAGTTACTAATTTTTTTCACTTGTCATAGAAACTTTTTGATAGTTTTAAATAGGTGGCATCATATGGTTCACTAACAGTACATCAAGTTATTTAGAGCAAATAAGGTTTTCATCAGAATGGATAGGATATAAGGGCTGTGATCCATGCAAGTTATGCAACTTGCTCAAGTCATGGTCTTAGTGTCTTCTTCATCGGCCGCTTCATCTACTCATTAACAGCTTCTGTTTCTTCCAAAATTAGTCCTTTTCTTGAAATTTTCTGTTAGGCCTGAACACTTGGTTTGCATAGCTCTCAGTTTCCTTTCACGACATAACTTCCAGTGATGACTGGTCATCCAGTGGAATATCACCCTCTCCCTGTGATGGGGTTATTATTCATCCACCCTTTTATGAAATTAGCCAACTCATCGATCTTCAAGGACTGCTCAAGTTCCTCCCTCTAGTCTCCCAATACCTTATGCTGGTCTTTCGAACATCCTCAACTGCCTTCTCCATCATATCGAAGTCTACCCTTTTTGTGGTGGCCGTAGGATCTAGCTGGTCAGACCAAAGCTATCATGACTCTATATAGCCAAATAGTCTGCAGTGTTATCATTTCCTATAGAATGCTAGAAAGGATTACAGGACCGTTACAGGACAATACAAGAGAGTTCCCCTCCTACAGATCAGCCGCTCGTACCTCTGTTGACAGAGGGATTTAAGCAGAAAATCACAATTGAGATAATTCCCAACAATGCTTGCAGTCCCTGGATACCCTAAGGGCAAAAACATATTAATTGACCTAATTTCCCAATTATCCCTCCTAGTGTAGACTTTACATGGACTGGCAGTAAAGGGACTGGGCGGAGGAGTAATAGATGGATGATGAGCCAAAAGTTCAGGCCTAGCATTTTTAATTTCTCCTAAACCTTAATGGTAGAGAATCTGGAATTAGAAGTGCTTCTTGGTTTGCTTGTTTCTATTTTTCTCTCTTCATTGCCGAATAGGAGGATGTGGTCTTTAGACTCCTTTGGACTTATTACTTTTAAAACTCACTTCCCATTTTTCATCCATTCTCCTAGCAGTTACAATTTTCTTGTATAAGGACCCTTAACACTTTCATTGATCAAAGTTATATAAAAGATTTAATATGCGCCTTTTCTTATGAATTTCGGATTTTAAGCTCATCTTTTCTATAAGAAACTTTCGAGACAACTACTTTTTGATAGAATTGAGAAAAAAGAGGGGGAGGCGAGGACAAAAATTCGAGGTTGAACTGTTTCTGCTGTTTGTCTGCTTAATCTCAGGGCTTGTAGTTGTGATCGATCTCTTTCACTGTATTAGTCTGTATCTTTTTTTCTCTCCATCATATTTCTTCTCTAGATTTCTCTGGTAAGTTTTTAATCTCCAGAAATTAGGATTATGAAGATGGGTTCTTAGGCACCACTAATTTTACCATGTTTTCTGGTTCTTACAGCTGGAATTGTACTCTTTCTTCTTGTGGAGAAGATAGTGAGGTATGTTGAAGAAAACTCTAGAGGAGCTAATTCATGGTCCCATGGACACCACCATCATAACCACAACAGTACGAAAAAACTGAAAGATGATAAGGTATCACATGACTCTTTGAAGGGAGATAATCCAGCTCAACCTGAATCCTCACTTAGAAAGGTAAGATGAGCACTAGTGTGTCAGTACAGTTTACCAAGGTTGGAAAACACCACTGATTTGGTTTGAACCATTGCTGATATTGCCTAGGACATTTACTGGTAGACACTGTTGTTCCGACTCCAAATGTTTGGCCAGTTGTGCTGACACTTATCAAAGATAATAGGAAAATAGTATAGGCAAAACCTAAACAGCCAGAATAGGTTTGTTACACAGGTTATGTAATATTGTATTAGACATATACGATTGCATAATCTTATTTGTAGTACAGTATTGAGTTGAGGCAACACCCAAACAACTTATTTTCTTTATGTGATTTAGCTTGAGAAAAATTTATCTGGCATATGATATATCCTTGTATTGCAGAGAATCGGAAGCAGTGCAGCCAAAGATGATAATCTCAATGCCGGTGCTGTAGATAGCTCCACAGATAACATCAAATCCTTGAATGTTAAGGAACCAGTTAAATCATCAACAAGTCTAGTGTTTGGTTATCTCAATCTTTTCTCTGATGGAGTTGTAAGTTATGTTGAATTTTTATTGGTTGAAGTGAAGGAAAGCTTTCCTTGTATTCATGCAAAATGTTTTAATATTGCAGCATAATTTCACCGATGGAATGGCATTAGGAAGTGCATTCATGCTTTATGGATCTGTTGGCGGCTGGTCTAGAACTCTGTTTTTGCTGGCACATGAGCTTCCTCAAGAGGTTCAAGTCCATCATTATTCTATCAAATGTTCAGTATTATGCCTATTTGCAGAACATTTTACTGCAGCATCCCATTTATTTGGGCATAACTCAAAATTGTAGCATGCAATTTGCTAAAGGCCTTAAAAATTTGTTTGTTTTTTAAATGCTCAATATCATAGTTGTTAGAATCTTATGATTTGCTATACAAATCTCATGATTCAGCAAACCAGCGATTCGAATCATGTTATGAATCGGGGATGGCTTTGAAGCGTGCGGTATATTCATGAAGCAGTGCGATTCCATATCACTGATACAAACCACATGATTCAATGATTCATTAGTTATTTCTTCTTTCTTGCTTTGCTTTCATCTATTCTCAGAAAAGATTGAAAAGTCAAATAAGTTTAAATTGTTAAATAAAAAAGAATTAAAGGAATGCTACTGAATGCACCCTATTTGATTATTCCATTATTTGTCTATTCTATTGCTCTTTTCATTCTTTTGAATAAGAGGCTTCACACAATCACTTGCTCACTCTATAAGCTTCACGTAGTCATTTTATGTGACTCAATTATGATTTATGACTTGTTATATTTGAAGTTAAAATTATTACATTTAGCATTATAGTTTATTTATATGATATATTTGAAGTTATTTTTCATTGTATCTTTGAATCCTACAATTTGCTACAATTCACGATTCACACGTCAAAACTTAGTTTGTCAATTCACAATTTGATTGCGATTTGATAAGCTTGCTCAATATAATCTTCATCATTTTATAACTATAATTTCGAGAAACATAAGGGACTATAAAACTTCATGAACATTATTATACAGATTTAATCTGGTGACTTTTATGCAAATATATGTCTCCATAAACGTACATTCTAGGTTTTTGATTGATTTGATTTAGTTATTAGATTATCTTAGATGTAATCCTTGTCACATCATCTGGTGACTTTTATGTAAATATATGTCTGGTTATATCTTTGATTGATTTGAAATAGTTATTAGTTTGTTTTACTATATTGTCCATGTCACATTTGACAGGCTACAACATGCATTGTTTACGCACATTCCATACCATGGGTCTGAGTCCAAGTTACAATTCTGCTATAACATTCTTTTAAACTGGTGTTTAGTTCGAATCTTGTTTTACATTCATACATTCCTGTTAGAATATTAGATATGATATGATTAGATTTGATTAGATATGATTGGATTCTGTCTTATCCGTAAATAGTCTGACTGTATTCTAACTATATTAGGATTAGGTTTGGATTAGGTTTGGGCAAGTAATGTTAACATTCTAAGTCCTCGGAAGCCTTGAGGCTCTTGGAGACATGGAACAAGTGCAAGAACTAACTAAGGTGCATGTGTTTATAATATATCTGTAGTAAGCTTTATGAGAAATATTCATACCATTGGATCAAGAAAAATTAGAGAGATTAGTGTATTGCTGCTAGTTATTTATAATCATCTTTAAGAGTGAGTTCCGCATCATTGTCATGGCCACAAGGTATAGTCATTATCCTCTACCTTTTCTATTGATCTCTTTAGAGCTGTTGCATAATTGAACCGACTACCCTCCTGATTGGCTTTTCCCTCTTGATGTTATCTTAATTCAATCTTCAACTGTGTTCACATCAGCTTCCTTGTTTTGTGAAACCCAAGGGTCCTTTTTGTGGAAGGGCTATGGAAGATTCTTTAATTTGTATAATTCCACACAAAATGTGTTAGCTATAAATAAAATTAAGCAGGAGAAAATATGAAGCAGGCTTCTTCATGTCAAGGAGGTGCACCAATGTTGTTCACCCTTGCTGTGCTTATCAAGGCACATTTTGATGGTGCTGATCGTATGCACTGCTGATTAACGGTGCTTTATTTTGTTATGTGAACTTGCAGATAGCATACCTATTTCATTCCACTAGTTAATGCACTCAATACATGCATCATTCATGTGACATACTTCATTACATTTAGTTTCTAGGATTCTCTTTTGATTCTCTTTTTTAAAAAAAACAAAAAACAAAAAGCAAAAAACAAAAAACAAAAAAGGAGTAATGCTTGGTAAAATGTTTATGCTTTAATTCCTGACTTTTATTAAAATAAACGAAAAAAGATAAGCACTTTTTGATCCTGATAGGTTGAATTTTTACCTTGCTTTAACGAACAACTTGCTCCCGGATCGATATTTACAGGGATTAAGTAGGCTTTATGCTTGTTGTTGCAACTCTGATCGTCTGGCATGAAATGTGACAGATCTTAAGTATCCAGCCTTGATGACTCATTCAGGGAAATATTAGTTGAACATTAGGCGGTATCTTCACCTAATTGGGGAACTAAAACAGCTGCTAGTGATCACTTTTCTGCCATTTCGGGTTTCATACTTGTTATTTGTCATTTTATAATGCTTTCAGCTTAGTGTTTTGTTGTTCTTTTTTTCTGATTTTTCTGTATTGGTTTTATTTATTGTCATGCCCATTGCATTGGTATTATGATATTATCTATTTCAGATTTTACTCTTTTTTCCCACGGAAAGTTTTATGCAATTTTTTCTTTCACATACAGGTTGGTGATTTTGGTATTCTGATAAGATCTGGATTCAGCATACCTAAAGCTCTGTTCTTCAACTTTTTATCAGCACTTGTAGCACTTGCAGGAACTGCATTGGTGAGTGTTGTCTTCATTCAATGGAGTGAGTTTTTTAGTGGATCGACAAACAGCATATGTACACACTCAACATTTAAACTAAAATAGAAATATGAATATTGACAATAGCGCGTTCACAAATTTTGCAGTAGTTAAGGCACATTATGGATTAGATATTCTTTACAGAATTGTGGCTGGATGAACTTAATTAAGTAAATGAGCATAGGAGAAACAAGAGGGTGATTGGGCCTATTGGAATTCTATTTTCAAAAAGAGTTTTTTGATTTTCAGAACAAAAAAAAACATTTGATAAGGCTTGTTTTGTAAAAAATGTTCTAAAAATTATAATTGTTTTTTGGGACAGGATCCGTTTACAAACTTTTTTGAATTTTTTTACAAATTACACTATGTTCTCCCGGGAGAACATAGTGTAGTTTGTAAAAGTTTGTATTCTCCCGGGAGAATATAGTGTAGTTTGTAAACAAAAAAGTTTGTAAATATAACCTGCCCCTTGTTTTTTAGTTTTTTAGAATCAAATTTAGAGAATATGTCTAAGTTGTTTTTGTTTTGTGTTTTGATTTTTAACTTTCAAAACAAAAAAATAGAAAACATCTGTATCATTAATTATTCTACAAAACAGTTTTAAGAAAGAAAAAAAAAACACAAATAAACAGGCCCTAACTTATATGTTTCGGAAAGAGCAAAACTTCAATATATTTCTTCTTAGTAAATTTAAAAGAGATCAAAATGAGAAGAGACTCTTTAGTTATATCTTAGATTCCTATATGGTAACAAGGTCATGATTTCTAAACTTTTATGGGACTTATATGAAACCTTAAAAGTTGTGTTACTCTGAGGAATTTACTGATTTAGGACAATTGTAAGTTTCACATCCACGTTTATTTCTATGCCCCCCCTTTCCCTTTTCTTGATTTGCTGCCCTTCATTATTAGTATGTCCAAGAGTGAACATAGAATGAAATAGTAAATCCCTATTTTTGGTGTAGGCTCTGCTCTGGGGGAAAGATCCTGGACAGTCATCTCTGATTGAGGTGAGGAATGTTCCATGATGAATCTGTTTGGTTGAGTTTTAAGGAGATTTTGGCAATGACATCTCTTGCTTTTTACAGGGTTTTACCGCAGGTGGATTTATATACATCGCGATTGCAGGAGTGCTTGCAGAAATGAATAGCAGTGGGAATACCACATTGAGAAGTACAGCCATCCAAATAATCTCACTGACAATGGGCATGTCTGTTGCCCTTGGTATTTCCCTTGTAGAATGAATTAAATGTACTCTCTTAGGTTTCCATATCTTGATTCTTGATGTGCCAATTATTTCACAAAATTTATGCAACCTCTCTAAATTTATTTCATTATATTTGCTTTTGTGCTAAAAAAAGGAGGCGAACCGGAGTAGTGATAAAACTGTTCCTTCATGACTAAAAGGTCGTGGGTTCGAATCCAGGAAACAGCCTCTTTGCAATTATGCAAGGATAAGGCTGCATATAAAGATTTCTTCCATTTTACACTCGCTAGTCGGGTTTAACGGAGAGTGTTTTTTTTTTGGTTTTTTTTTTTTTTATATATATTTGCTTTTGTGCTAAATGGTAAACCCAGAAAAGCTTGTAAGGCACGATGAGAAAATGATAGATCAAACAGAATGGTCAGTATTAAACTTGCAATGATTACAGAATGAACTTTGTATAGCAGATGCTTCTTTGCAGTCGTTAATGCTTAGCCTAGCACATGCCGTTTGTCTTTATCGGATTATGTCTGTTGTAACATTTTTCTCCCTTTTGAGCTGTATAGCAGTCAAAATGCTTTCCTCTTTCTGATACACGTGAGATGAAAACACTGATTGTGTCTGATTGATATTGTACACTTTATTCCTTTGTCTTTTTGTTTTCGTTTTGTCTCTGTCTTTGTTTTTATTTTTATTTTTTATTCTTCCATTCTAATGAAAATTGAGCTTGCATGCCTGCATTTGGACAATGTTGGGATGCAGGTTTTGATTTTGAAATTTCAATTAGAGCATTAAGCATGCAATTATTGACATGCATAGTGTAGGCCATAAATTTTAAACCTTAGTAAGTATTTATACCACATGCCTCTGCATGGTGAATTGTGCAATCTGCACATTTGAAAACTATAAAGTATAATGTCTGGATTTAATAGAAAACATGAGATACATTTTTTTGACAAGAACATATAATGAATACTTGGGGTCTTGTTGCACCAATGCTTTTCGTCTTGCTCTATTGAAGGTCGCTCAGCTTATAATCAAAATGCATCCCTCGTTACACAGAATGTTGTGATTGAATTTATTTCTTTGTTAAGATTCAAACTTGTCCAACTGCTGAAGCACTTGAAAGATAGTGACATTCTGGGTTGGTAAGGGAGGGAGAGGTGGCATTCTCATGAATGGAGTCATCACAAGGTCTCCTTCATGTGTGAGGGTGTGATGCCGCTTTCGTACTCCTCGAGCTGGGGCCTCTGTGTCCATTGAAACTGTTCTTTCTCTATCCGCCATGTCTCCAGATATCTCTACTCTCTTCCTTAAGCTTTCTGCAAACCTGTTTTCATGCATTCTTTCATCCTTCAAAAGTCATACGGATCATATGTTAGTGAATAGAGATTCTTCCCTGAACTACAGAGTGAACTTCAAATTGCATTGAATTTTTTTATTTTTTTTTCCGCAATCGAATTTCTATTTGGTGAGTGAAATCAAAGATGAAGAGAGAAATACTGTAGTACTTTCTCCTCTCTCTCTCTCTTTTTTTTTCGAAGAGACCAGAAATTAGTTGCCAACATTCATTGTTTTGATTGTATTTAATAAGCTTAAAATATTTATAGCCAGAATCATACTCCATAAAATGTGAAATGATATCAGTACCGAGACAATGAAATCAGGTGCTTTTGACAAACACCTAGATGAGAAATTCATTATGATTTGTATATCAGGAGAAATTCATTATGATTTGTAGATCACCGAACTCCGTGCTTCTTTTTAATAAAAGGAAGTACAGAATTCGATGATCCCGGTGCATTGAAGTTTTTATCGTGTACCAGAATTTATTTTGCTTGTTTCAAAGGAAACAATCTGCATAGTGAGGTTCATTCGGTATATAGAGTTCAATTTCTTCGAAGGCTTCATGTTCTGTGTGATTTTCTACGCTGTACAATACTCTAAAAAGTCACCCTCCACATCTGTAAACGGTGATTGAAAAGCTAGAAAGAGAAGCTGTAAAGGGAGTACCCCTAGTCCAAAATGTGTATGCCTTGGATGACAAACACTTTTCCCTTGGATGTATTGGTTAAAAGGGTAGTGCAAATATAAGATCTGGCAGGCTAAAAAATGTGTATGTGTAGTATATCAAATTCTTAGACTCCCTATAAAAGCTGAATCTTCTCCTTTTAAATATTATATTGTATAGAAAGTACACCACCTAAAAATTTCCAATTCGGACCTTTAGCTAGCAAGAGACACTAATTATGTGAACACAACTTACAATGCAAATGCAGAAACAGGGAAATCACATCGAAGTATATATATCATGGGCTTAAAGGAAACGTGTAGAGAAAGAAGCTGCATTGTTTTTCTTTACCATGCAAAACCTCGTTTGCCATCATAAGAATAAGTAGATAACTAAACTATAAATAGCATGTGCTTACATTGATGACGGAAGATTCAGGCATTGGGCATTTCACCGGACGATCTTCATCTGGTGGCTCCATAGGGTGTTCAACTGGGAAGAAATCTGTGTTTTTATCAACCCCCCGATGATGATGCACTTCCATGATGATACTGCTTTCTTGTGTTGCACTAATCTCATCTATTAAGGGAAACTCAATCTCCTTTTCGTCCTAAAATGTACAAAAGTAGTTGGAACATCTTTCATAATTAAGCACACTGGAAATTAACCGAATGCTGCTATATTTTAATCAAGTGTCACAAGAATAGAAGAAGAAAAGACAAAACAGCAAAAAATTCTTCTCTATTAAAATAATCTCCCATTACCCATTTTGCCAATGAATAATAACATGTTTTAAGAGTACTACTTACAAAATGATCCCCGCATGAAAATCCCATGAGCATATGAGCTCATGCCAGAAGCTGAGAAAATGTTGGTTGTTCTGTCTGTGAGTGTGTGTTTGTGTCTCTGAGAACGAGAGAAAGAGGAAAAGATAACAACAAAAGAGAAAGACAGCATAAAAAGGAGGAGTAGTGAATAGGATAAGAGAGAGAGAGAGGAGAGAAAGAAGGTGGAAATGTGGGATCACCTAATATACAGTTCAAGACTGAGAAAGATTCCCATTGGGATTTTGCTACTGCTTTTAAAATTTTAACCTTTTGCTTTCTGTCTTTATTTTTTTTTATCTGGGTCCTTGTCTCATGACGAATCAGAGGCATGGCTTTTCTCTGCATTGCTGCTTTTTAAGAAGGGTAGCAATGTGGTTTGGTTGAAAATGTTAGCATCCTATCTCTCTCTCTCTCCCCACACACACTTTCTGCTTTTCTTGGATTTTGCAGGAGAAAGAAATAACCTATAGATTTTGTGTTTGCTGCTATGTTATATTACAACCATCGTAAAGAATAAAATCAAAGCATAGGAAATGAAATGTGTGGAGAAAGAGAAAGCGAAATGAGCCGAAAGCAAAAGGAATAGCGTCATGGGCATGACTTTAGTCTTCACACTTTTGAAATAGCCGTTCGTTTATTTCGATGTAATATTCGTAAAGCAGGTAGCAATGCTACGTCGTATGTAATAGTTTCAATATGAAAGCACATATATATATATATATATATATATATATATATATATATACATGCGCAATAATTAGCACTTTTCCATAGGTATGCATATGAATATGGTATCAAATATAATGTTAAATCATTATATTATGTACTTATCGACAACTGTACCGATCGTATTAAGTAATAAAAAGTGAGAAGAGTGTCATTTCCACAAGGATTGGGTCGAATATCAATTAATTGTTTCTTTTAAGAATGGAAAAACAAGAGTTGGTTTGAAAGTAATGGTGTTTGTAACAATTGTGAACTATTCAATAATTTATGAACAATTCAGAGAGAAATTTGAAGAATTTAAAATAAAAAGTTTTTGAGAAAAATATTGTAAAAAGCTATTGCAGTAAAGGACTCCAACACCTTTCTGATCCCCACCTTGTAATATTGATTAATGTTTATATTTAATTACCAAATTGATCAAACAATTCACCATCTAATAATTAATTAGTAAGCCCTAATCCCTTAGGTGATCTTAACTTTATTAACCCATATTAGAATCCTAATCCCTTAGAAATCCTTTTTCAAGTTAATTCTTTAACCCGGTGAATTTTTCACGTTTGCAGTTCATGTAGCCTATCCCTAGTGCATACATGAACTGTTATTTTACCCTTTGTGAGGAATTAGAATCTCAATATTCCTATTGAAAACCCTAACCCTCGCAATCCTAATAGAGTGATCAGTTCTAGAAGAATTAGAAGATGAAGAACAAGGTAAAATAAATGCAATTGAAATAATTAAATATAAAAATTAACCAAACTACAAGGGGTTGTGACCCTTACCACAATAATAAAAGACTAGTCAGACATATTCATGTCTGACAATTTAAATAATGAGAAAGAGTTCATGAAAATGTAAAATCGGAAGAAGAAGAAGTCTTGAATCTTTAGTCACCGAGAGCTTCCTCTCCAATTTCTCCTTGCCAAAAGATGATACGAGTTTTGTTATCAAAAAAAAAAAAAAAGATGATACGAGTTTCTGCTTCCTTTATATAGTCAGCTACTCAATCAAGTCATAATCCTTGAATTAATTCTGATTAAATTTCCATTTTTCTCATAATTCCATCAATCAATCAAGTCATAATCCTCTAATTAATTCTAATTAAATTTCTATTTTTCTCATAATTCCACCAATCAATCAGGTCATAATCTTCTCATTAATTTGATTAAATTTCCATTTTCATTAAACTCCACAAATCAAGGAATGCATTCATGACGCCCGCGCGATCAGTGCCAAATTCACGACTCCACAAATCAAGGACTGCATTCATGACGCTTGCGCGATCAGCGCCAAATTCGCGCGGATCGCGTGGACAAACAGAAAGTAATTTGCCAAAATCACGCAGATCGCGTCATTTTCGCGCGTTTTGAGCGAGACTATGCAATTTCAACTTCTCTCTTTCACTTCTTTTTGGTGTTTCCTGCTATCAAAATGCATAAATTGAGTGAGAGAATGGTTGAGAAGGAATAATCAATATTTCTTACATTTATGAGCTTATTTTCACACATTTATGATTAATTCCTTGTTTCTTTTACTTAAAAATCACCATATGTTAGACGCATATCACTCACTTAGTATAAGTGGTTCTCGTTTCAATGCCATTGTAAACTTAATTCTGATATCGAGGACAAAGGTGCTAACTATTCCATACTATGATTAATCTATTTTTGGATTATATTTTCATATTTTTGACATCCTAAATTTTTTTAAATTGAGTTGATCAGTATGATAACTTTGCTTTTCATTTTAATTGATATGGGCTAGTACAGTTCCTTCGTGTTGACATTTTAAAAATTTGATGTTGAGTTTTGGATTGCTGTTAAATAAGTGAGTTGGGAAAGAGAAACATCAAAACCGTGAAATCTGTCTATAATAGGGAAAAAAATTAATTTAATGCATTTTAACTAAATAATTACGTATTTATTGCAGTTTCGGGAATAATTATGAATTTATTGCACATTTCCTAAATGAGCGTCACAGTGAGGCATCTCACCCTAGGGGAAGACGCCCCAATGGGACGTCTTTCATCTGGTGTTGACACGTGTCATACTTTTTTCCAAAAAAATAATAATTTAATCATAAAACTTCTGAAAGCCATAACTTTTGACTCGGGTATCCAAATTAGGTAATTCTTTTTTTGATTCCACATAACTTTTTGATATCTACGCAATGACATCTCATTTGACATATTTTATTTATCACAAACACAATTTTATTTCTCATTTGACTAGAATCATCAGGTTATTATTTACATTTAAGTTTAGATTTGAATCATAACGTTGGTATTTGTATTTTGTAATTTTGTATAGATGCCTTATTCATTTCTATACAACTATTCATTTGTATTCATGGTGTTTTTGTATAGCTGCTTAAATTAGAATTAAAAATACACCATGATTTCCGCCACAAGACGACGTCATTTCAGTAAACATTAGACAAAGTTGTCTAAAGTAACTTTAGAAAAAAAAATGAACCATTTGTTTATTTTCTTAATTTTTTTTGTCATTTATGCAATTCGAATCACAATTTGAATTATAGAATGACTAATATCTAACTAGAATCATATCTACATTTGAATTATAGGATGACTAGAATCTGACTAGGATCGTATCGGCATTTGAATTATAGGATGATGTTACTATTTGCATTTAAGTTTAGATTTGAATCACGATGTTGTTATTTGTAATTTGTATATTGCGTTATTCATTTTCTTACAGCTATTCATCTTATTTATAAGAAGAGTCAATCATTGACACAGTTGATTAGTTCGGTAAAAATTCTATTACGAATTTACCATCGCCTCTCTTTGAGTTTAAAAAAGGAATCTTTTTCTCAGTCTACACTATTTCGTAGAATTGAGGTTTCGGTTTTATTCCTTTTTTTCTTAAATTCCTTTTTGTCATTTATGCAATTCGAATCACAATTTTTTATTCACTAATCCTTGCAAATGAAAAGACTACAAACACTATATATGGGAGGCAATTTTAAATTATTTTTGTGAGAAATAAAATATATCAAATGAGATGTCATTGCGTAGATCTCGAAAAGTTATGTGGAATCAAAAAAAGAATTACCTGATTTGGATACCCAAGTCAAAAGTTATGGCCTTCAGAAGTTTTATGATTAAATTATTATTTTTTTGGAAAAAAGTATGACACGTGTCAACACCAGATGAAAGATGCCCCATTGGGGCGTCTTCCCCTAAAGTGAGACGCCTCACTGGGGCGTCACATGTGACGCCCATTTTGAGCGTCACAGTGTGCAATAAATTCGTAATTATTTTCGAAACTGTAATAAATACGTAATTATTTAATTAAAATGCATTAAATTAGTATTTTTTGCCGTCTTTAGTAGCTTTGCTAGGCCCCAATTGTGGTTGGGGCTTTTGACCAAAAGTATAAGATAAATAACATAATACTTATGAAGCAAAAGCCATGTGAATTTTGTTTTGAATTTACAATGACCTCTAACTCGTTGGTGCAAGAATCTTATTGTTGAAGAAAGATTTTTATATAAACTTAATATACCTGATTTAGGTGTACTGAGCATATAAAAAATAGATGCATTATTATTACACTATAATATAAGCATAACATTTGTTTAATAAGAACTAATAATTTGTGAATCTTTATTGACTTAAAATACCTTTATTAATTTATACAAGAATCCCTCCTTGAAACAACTCTTGAAGGTTTCGGATGGAAGTATCAAGAGTGAAATTAAATATATATATATATATATATATATATATATATATATATATATATATATATAACAATAGAAAATGATGTAAATTAACCTATGACTTCCGACGAATTATTCAACATCATATATTTTTTTGGTGACCAACATTCATTGATTTCAAGTGATAAGGAGATTATTTCTCTTAATTAAATGTCTTGAGTTCGAGTTTTGGGATGAAGAAAATGGTCTTAGGAGATTCACTCCTTGTAATGAACCCGACAATATTTGAACAGAACTAATCAAATAATCAATGAATTGTATATATAATAATAATAAATAAAACAAAAAACAAAGATAGCATGGGAAAACAGAGCCCCACTCATATATATGACAAAATAAAACTGGGCTCTGGCAGCACATATGGGGGGCCATTCACCCCATATTGACCAACATCAGAAAATTAGATTCTGAAATGACTCTTCCGAAGCCCATATGCCCCGCCACTTTGAGGCCATTTAAAAACCCTAAGCACCTTTAAAGATCCACGAGCCCAATTGCCATTTTCATCACATAGACACATGCACTGCCTTTCTAAAGATCCATATGTTGCGTTTGATAATATATAGTACAATAGAGAATGTCACACGACAAATAGTTGAGTCATAATATAATTTTTTATTTTGCTTGTTATTTGGTAGTGCATAATTTTGTCAGTTTGTTGCCGAACGTTACATGTCAAAATTTGTCCTTTGGAAAACTCGAAGCTTAAATGTAATTTGGCATAGACACAACAGTTGATTTGGCTAATGTCACATATCCTGCCAATTAGAAGCAACCAGATTTTGCCAACCTCTAAGCTTTGAAGCGATATTATCAATATCCATTTCAAAGATCTTTATGCTAGAAATGCATAAATTTTCAACATTCTTGTAATATATATTTTCTCACTATAATTAATGTGAAACTCATATAATATTAAAAGGATATGTTATTCTGTATACTCTTATTTTGTTTACTTTTGCCTACCTTTTTCAACACCGTCATATTACAATCTTATCCATAGAGATTCATGGGATAAAATCAATTCACGGAATAAAATCAACTCTTTTACTCCTTCTTCTTTCCCACTATCCTCACCCTTTCTCTCTTCTGCCCTTTTTCTCTCCATTGAAATAGATTGTTAATTAGAAGTAAAGGGTGATCAGAAGCCAAGAATTTGATCCTTATTTTGTCATTAACATTTTTTGCTGTGAATTCGATCCTTATTTTGTATACAACATAATATTTTATAAAAATTCAATTAGCAATAAATTGTCAATTACAAGTAAAGGGTGATTGAATTAGCAATGCTTGAAGTCCTTTAGCGTAGAGAAACTGCAAAATCGTTTTGGTATTCTGATGTCGCAACGAGAAAGAGAAAAGAGGGATGAGAGAGAAATGGTGAGGGAAGTGGGAGAAAGGAAGGAGTAAAAGAGTTGATTTTATCCCGTAAATCTCTATCATTGGATGAGAGTGTAATGTAACGATGTTGAGAGAGGTAGGCAAAGGTAGACAAAATAATAGTAAGCAGAATAACTTATCTCATATTAAAAATAAAAAACTGACGGAATAATATCAGTTAAGTGAGTTATATATTTTTAATTTTAATAAGTGTAGCACTAAATCTTCTGGTTTTTTTAAGTCCTCGAAGAAGCACGATCATTCTCAGACAGCACCAAATGTTTGTGGTTAGAGAAAAGCAAGTGACATTAACAATCTTTGTCGCCACATCATATGACATTCACAAAAGCAAAATGGCGATGCCATAACGCATATGTAGAGTAGTGTCAACATGGCATGGCGCATGTTGGACAAATATAAAAATGACAAAGTCCTCTTGGCCCATGTTACTAATCTATGTTTAGTTAAGAGCCACAAAAAAGTTCGAATCTGTTTTGAGCCGTGTCACTTCCAAACAGAACAGAATTCATCTATATAAATTATGACAACTCATCTGATTAAGGAAACGAAAATCAAGCGTGTTTTAGGCCGAGACATGATTAATAAGATGACACCCTAATTAACAAACCTTGACGAATTCCACCACACACCAAGACCAAAAATACACAATCATGACACAAACAAAATAACAATCACAGCACCTTTGTGTTGTTGTTGTCTCCATCATACAATTCAGAGAGTTCAATAACAACAACAACAAAAACTGAACAAAAGGAAGAAGGGAAGGGAAGGTTAGGTTCAGGGTTGTGAAATAGAAGGGTAAGGGAAACCACCCTTTGTCTTCAACCTGACCATACCCTTGTTTTCCTTTCACAAACTGCTTTGTTTCTAAGGTTTTCAAAGAAAGAAAGAAAGAAAGAAAGAAAGAGAGAGAGGGAAATGAGGGTATGGAAAAGGGCCACGGGAGCAATCAAGGACAAGAACAGCATTTTCGTTGCTAAGTTCTCAAGAAATGGTCCATGTCGTAACCCTGATTTGGATACTGTTATCATCAAAGCAACGAGCCATGATGAATACCGTATTGATATCAAGAACGTGCAGAGAGTGTTCCAATGGCTAAGAACCTCACCCTTATACCTGAAACCTCTTGTGTGGACTCTTTCCATGCGCATGCAAAAGACTCGTAGCTGGGTTGTTGCCCTTAAAGGCTTGATGCTCATGCATGGCGTTTTCTGCTCTGACCTCCCTGCTGTTCAAGGCAAGGGAAGGTTGCCATTTGATCTTTCAAACTTCACCGATGGCCATTTGAACCCTGCAAAGGCTTGGCCTTTCAATGCTTTCGTTCGTGCTTATTTTGCTTATTTGGACCAGAGGTCTTCGTTTGTTGCATCCGAGGTTAATAAGCAGAAGAAAAACAACAACAACAAGGAGGTTGAGGTTGAGGAGACATTGATGGAAGAGCTTCAGAAGTTGCAAAAGTTGCAGGCTTTGATTGACATGCTTCTTCAGATTAAGCCACGCAACTTGTACATGAATTCTGGTCTTATTCTTGAAGCTATGGATTGTGTTATAGTTGAGGTTTATGATGTGTATAGTAAGTTTTGCAATAAGATGGCAAGGGTGTTGTTGAGGATATATGATATGGGTGGGAAGGTTGAAGCGCGTGTTGGCCTTAAGGTTCTGCAGAAAGCATCGGAACAAGGGGATGAACTCTCTTCTTACTTTGAGTTTTGTAGGGATATTGGTGTCCTTAATGCCTCTCAGTGCCCCAAGATTGAAAGAATCTCTGAAGAAGACATTAAAGATCTTGAGAGGATAATCAATGGTGCCTCTGCTAAGAAAAGCTTGGAGGGTAATGATGGTAGTGTTGTTTCAAATGAGGATAAGGCCATTGTGGTAAGAGATTGCTCTGCCACTTCAACCATTTCGCAGCAGAAGGAATCAGAGAATGGTTTGATGACTGTGATCACTCACCAATGGGAGGTATTTGATGATGATCTAACGGTTGATGTTAAAGGAAACAATTTACTCTCCGATGGTACAATGGTTGTTTTTGGCACAACAACAAACCCTTTTGAGGAATCATATAGCCTTGTACCTTATCAACCTGTTCACAATCAAGTTCAAGATCTTCCTGATCTAATTAGTTTGTAGAATCATAGCACCGATGTTTATGTATGGTTCCATTTTCATTGCACTAGATTCATTACATCTTATGCATATATTCAAACTTTTGGGAGAAAGGAAATATGGAAAAGTGGTATCCAAAAGGGTAAAATTCTTCTGGTGTCTTCTCTTCTCCGCATTAGCAGAAGAATTTGTGATTCCCCTTCTTCAGCATTAGGAACATTTTTTAACATGTAAAACTATATTATTAATGTTATATGATAATTAGATATGGAAATTACATAGCATGTCTTGCCATCCTTTGTTTTTTTCCCTCCCTTGGATGTTAGTTTGTTTTGAAGTTGAACATTTTAAAACTAGATTGGATATATGTTGATCATGGACCTGTCACAATTTTAAATTTTTTGGATTTGCTGTAAAATATGATAGATGTTCTTGATGTGACCGGCAGTATAAGGGGGGCAGGGAGCACTATACTATACACATGTCAATGGAAATTTTTCAAACAGAATGGTATAATCTTTAGAAAGTTATTCCTTTGTGATTGAAAGATTACTGGTTTGAATTGTTCTCACCTTACTCTCAACTAGTCAGGTTTTAACACGGAGTAATTTTTTTAACCAATCCCAACTAGTTTGGGATAAAGATATTGTTGACGTTGAATGGTATAGTCTTTAGCAGCAACAAAACAAAACTGGTCATTGTAGCTTTTTAGAGTCTAGAGTTAAGGCACATGAGCTTTTGAGTAATCGGTTATAGGTATAGGCTTGAAGAATAAGAAACATGAAGCCAGGAATCTCGTGAAAATCTTAGTTAATGTGCCATATGATGCTCCACTAATCACTGCCTGGACTTTCACCGTGAAGATTGTATCCTTGCAGATTCTGCTATATGTTGGGTTTGAAGCAGTCGAGTCTTCTAAGCAATCTATTTATATTCCTTCTAGTTTAGCATTGATTTTTCATCCTCTGTGTGTCGCATAGCATCTCTACTTTATCGCCGACAAATAAACTTTTCATTTATGGACCTCAACTTTGTTTTGATTATCAATTTTAATTAAAAATATTTTAATAATATTTGTCAATTAATAAAAATAAAGCATATGTAATTTATTTTATTCATACTGTAAACTTTTTTATCAAGTTAAATATTTTTCTATTTTCATCATTTTTTATCAATAGAAAATATATGCTAATAAAGTTAAAATCCTTAATTAGTAACAATAAGAGTTTGATTGCTTGATTGGTTCATGGACTAATAACTTCTCTTATAGGAGCAGTTAGCCTTCCAATAAATACAACCAAGTATCGATCCCATAGAAAAAAAAAACAAAAAATTGCAACGCTATTTTTAAAAGAAGAGTAGGAGAAGAATTTTCTCTCCAACAACAGTAAGAGAGCTCCTTTTCCCTTGGCGAGTGTTTGGTATGAAAATTTTGATAGAATGATTGAGAAAGTAGGAAGGAGAAAATATGTTTACCATGTTTGGTATGAGTAGAGGTGTGCAAAATAACTAAAAAACTGAACCGAACCATGAACCGAATCGAACCGCCTTTAAAATAACCGATTTTTAAAAATTAGTTCATGAACCGAACCGGTTTTTAAAGAACCAGTTCATGAACCGAACCGATTTTTGGAACCAGTTTAAGAAACGAACCGTTTTGAACCGAACCGTTTTCAAACCGAACCAAATTGATTTTTATAACTTTATTTTTATTTCTTTTCTTTTCAAAAGAGGGTCGACCCGAACCGGTTCCGAACCGAACCAGTTTTGAACCGAACCATTAAACCAATTCGGTTCGGTTATACCCATGCACATTAGGTATAAGATAAGTTAAAAAATACTGGTATAAAATATTTGCCATGAATAATTTTTTCAACTGGACATCGACAAAAAAAAAAATGCAATTCAAAAGGTGGTATTTTTTTTATCCTACAACCGAGAATCTTGCCTAAGAACATTTAAAAATCTTTTGACACAGACAACCCTATCATAAAAAGTAGGTTTCAAACAAATTTTCAAACACTCTGGATACTTTTGTAATTTTATTTCACATTTTCACATATATTTCACAATCAATCAAACATAATATTAATATAATAACTCAACTTTCTTTGCAAAAATTTTAGCCTATCAAACATCTTTTTGTAACTTTCCAAGATAAAAAAATCTCGTCATATTCTTTGTAACTTTTTTTTTCTTATAAAAAAGATCTCTCGTACCAAACACCCCCTTAGTTTATTATTAAAAAAAGGGATGTAACCAGACAAAGAATACTTCACTCACCTATGTTCTCTAGTTAAGTCTAAATGTTCTTTCTTACCTATGTTCTCTAGTTAAGTCTAAATGTTCTTTCTTTTGCTAGATTCATGAGACCTTAAGGCTTGTGTATAAACAATAAAGATCATCAATTGGCACATCCTTGGCACTTGTATCTTTCTGTTATATGCATATAAGTCTATTTCCATAAGTAGCCTCATTTTCATATATTGTGGCATATGTTCATTTAAGGACTTTTTTTGTCTTTATGTCATATTAATCAAAACGGTGTGCTTTGTATTGATATGTGATAATATAGCTAGTCAACTTTTGCTTTTCTCATTCATACGAAAACATTTCTCTTGAATATTCAGTTAGAAAATCTCTCTGTTTTGCTCTGATAGGGTTTCACTCAAAAACCCAAAATTTGACCTTGGTTTCGCTGTTATCGTTCCTTCTTCTTTGTTGTTCGTCTTCTGCTTGTTTTGCAGGTCACCAATCGGAAGTATATTGGTGGGTCTTGAAGAAGTGGTGCAACGGAGGTGAATCTTGAAGACTCTCTCGGGTGCAAGGGCTGTTGTTCTTGCTTGGAGGGTTCTGGTAACAAAAGTGTGCTTGTGTGTTTCTTGGTTGGGTGTTTTTGATGCTGTTGTATTTTTAGTAGCATGTTATATTTCTAGTTTCTTTATTTGTCTGAGTAATTTGGGGCTTTAGGGTTTTTCGTTTGGGGCTTTGGTTATTTTAAGCCTGTAACTGAATGTTGTAATTTGTTCTTGATTTAATTAGTGCAAGTGTCAGGGAGTGGTCTCCCTAAATTGATCTTTGACGTAGGAAACTTGGTAACACAAGTTTTTGAACAAGTAGAAACCCAGCGTGTGTTTTTCTTCTCTTAACTCCTCTTTTCTGTTTTAAGAAACAAAAGAAAATCAGAAATTTCTCCAGTGTAATTTCAACACTTTCTTTTTAATTAACCACTATTCTTTTAGTCCGCGTATCTGCGTTCGTATTTTTATATCATTAATAAATATTTTTTAAATTGAATTTATAAAATTTAATAGAATAAATTACTTTTTTCTTTCTTTAGAGATGTTTAAATTAGTTTACCAAAAAAAAAGAGATGTTTAAATTATATTGCCATCTTTTTTATTTTGAAAAATTATATTATCCTCTCTTATGTACGTATATATATTTAAAAGAAATTATAATCCCCAATTTGCGTGTTGATTCCAATTTCCAATTAAAAAGAGATTACAATTTTTTAATGAGGCAAATGCTAAAGCAACTTCTTTATTTCTGAAAAAGAAACTTTGAACATAATAAATTACAAATCATGTTGATAATAGGCCCTCTGAATGGGCTTAAAAAAAAGTGTTTTTTATGTCTTATTTATGTTAGAAGTGTTTTTTATCAAAGTTAAAACTGTTTAGATTTTTTATTTTTAAAAAAAATATTTAACTTTTAACTTTTGATGTTTTACAAAGTTAAAAATTTTAGTTTCTAAAACAAAAAAATTCAAAAGTTTTTTACTTTATTTTATGACTTATGCTTTTTTTAAAAGTAAGAATCTAACAACTCTTTTTTAGAAGCGTTTTTTTCCCTTGAAAGAAGCAGTTTTTGGAAGAAAAGAAAAAAGGAGCGCTTAGCCTATTAGGATGGCTATTTGACCATTGTGCCCTTAATTACTTAAAAAAAATATCACTTCGTCTCCGTATTAAAACATTTAACCTATCTATCCTTGTTTGACCATTGACCGTGCAATATACTCGACTACAAAATCTTATACTCGAGTAAATCAAGTGTCATGAATTTATATTCGAGTACATGGCCCAGATACTTGAGTATTTGTTGTTCCACACAATATACTCGAGTATATGGTCATATACTCGAGTAAATGTTCAAAAAATTACGAACGCGTAGCTCATGAAATGTTATGTGGAATAAAAAAAAACACCTGATTCGGAAGGCCATAACTTTTGACTCGGGTTACCCGAGTCAAATCCAATATTATGAACATATGACTATAGAAACTAAAACTTTAGAAGGCCATAACTTTTGACATGGATGTCTGAATCAGGTGCTTTTTTATTATTCCACATAATTTTTCGAGAGCTATGCGTTGAAAAATTGCTGCAGGAAACTTTTTGAACATTTACTCGATATATTCGAGTATATTGCGTGGAACAGCAAATACTCTAGTATCTGAGCCATATACTCGAGTATAAATTCATGACACTTGATTCTCTCGAGTATAAAATTTTGTACTTGAGTATATTGCACGATCAACGATCAAATAGAGACAGATATATAAAATGTTTTGATATGCGAACAAAATGACATACTTTTTTATGTAATTAAATACACAATCATCAAAGGGTTATACATGTATAATATTATAGGAAAAACACTATTTGGTCATGCAGAAACACAAAAGAAGAGAGAGAGTGAATTGAGAAAAGAAAAAAGAAAAAACTATGAACCCACATCTTTTTATTTGTGCAGAAAAACAAATTTTCTTCCGGTTACATAATAGATACATTTTCCATTATCAAATAGCCTATTAGTATTATATGACCCTTTCACGCAAAGGGACGTAGAGTAAAGGTTACTCATGAAAGTTTGTTGTGATGCCATTTTATGAATGACGTCACGCATGAATATTGAGGACAAAAACGGTTAAAGGCGCCGCATACAAAATTATCACAGGATTAATTGATCAAATGTAACCACATAAAATCGCTGATTTTCAATTCGTGGGTCGAATCACGAATTTCTTTTCGGAAAAATCTTCTCCAAATAACAATGAACTTATTTTGTATAAGGGTTTGGTATTTGTCATTTTAAATGACATAAGTTATGTCATTTTAGGAGAAAAATAAACACAGAAAAACAGAAATCATGAAAGAAAAAAAGTGAGTGATTTTTTTTAATTTAAAATTCAAATTTTCTGTATCTGTATCTCTCTTAAAATGACATAATTTTCTGTCATTTAAAATGACAAACATTTTTCCCGTTGTATAAAGGCTCAAGAAAAGGGTAAAAGTGCGTCCTAAGTCATTCTTTTTTTGTTTGCGTGAGCTACTAACTGGAATTAGCTCAAGAAGGGTGAATAAATATTTGACAAAAAAAAAAGTATTTAAAATACATTTTGTTGCCCTTCAAACAATTCACATTGAAAAACAAAATGTTTATCCGTTTACTACGTACAATCTACCTACTACATCAAAATTTATATCATAGTCTCACACGAATTGGGTATACTTTTGCAAATCTTATAGCCATCAGGTTCTTGACTATCATTAACAAAACAACTTATAAAAAATAGTAATTCAACCTATGAAGACCAAATTCCTATTTTTGAACATGGAATAGCCGACTTAATGCCAACCCTCTGTCTCACAAGAGTCATCTAAAAATAGGGGAGCAAATGACATTCTATTCATAGGGTAAAATATCGCTGGGATCTAATAACATAGGGAACATGGAATAGCCTCTCTTGTCTCCATTTCTTCAATTCGTGCTACACTACAGACTCACTAGACACCAGATCTAGACATCAGAGATGATTGCCTTTCAATCGATAAGGGAAAAAAACTAATAAGCTTTCTTGTATATAATAATAATAATAATAATAATTGCTCAACCAGAGTTGGGGGAAGACTGTTAAGTCCCATTAACTCATTAAGCCTCTAGATCTGTTCAGAACACGACTGAGAATTGCATAATAAAAAGACAGTAACATGGTATAGAATCGAAGAAACACAAAGCACACAAGTGACTAACTCAGTGAACCAGACCACTGAATTAATTAACAACTAACATTATATATTCACCCAAAATTCACAGGGTAGCCCACCAGGGATACAATGGTTGGACACTGGGTTCTCCAACCTATAAGTCCCTGGCTCGGATCTCATTTGTAATAATGGGTGGGATTAATGGATTATGTGAGAGAGATAGGCTCTTACCCCCATTGTACAGCCTCAAACTCTGAAGGACCATAAAAAGGAATTGTCAGGTTAAACCATGATCTGCTAGAACTCAAACTGAAAGATTCAGCCCATTTCGAGCAGCATCCACTTATAGTATTGCTATCAACCCTATACAACTACAATACTGAAGGGTTAAATCGAAGAGACAAAGTCAACAGTACAAATAAGTGACTATCCTTTAAGCCAAAGGAACGATGAAAAAATTCATTATAATAGAAAAACATTTGAATAAATACCATGGCATTGCATAGTCTAGAGAAATTTAAACTAAAAATGTGAATGAGTATTATCCATAAATAGTCTATCTAGAAATAACTCATCTACATAAATGTTAATGCCATACAACATGGGCGTCCCTTATCACATAAGCCGAAGAGGGAAAAAGAACAAAAGAACTGGAATGTCCAAGTTTTAGGTAGAAGTACTGCAACAGAAAATTCTTGGATAACAAATAACATCTGTGTGAAAGATCACACAGGTGTATATACAGGTGAAACAGACCAATTGTTGTGTCCCAGCAGCACCTATCTACCTGATAGTGACAAATTTGTTGGTGCCATGTCTAGCCCAATGAGTCCTCAGATCAATAGGGTTAGCAAAATTATAACCTTCAGCTGCAAGTTTCTCTAAAACCTTTTTAAAAGCACCTTGGCTCATTTTCCGCCCAGCTATCCTTGCACCACGCCTTTTTATGCTCATTGGCAAAGGATATATTGACACATTTGTGGTGCAACAAGCAGATTGCCAACCTCCACATCCCCATCGATAACACTGCTGAGGAGTCCCAGTACATGAACAAACCGGAATGGGTAAACCAGAAATGTCCATACCAATTCCGTTTATTACAAGCTCCATAGTCTTCTTCGGTGGCTTCACACGTTGAACTGAAACATTGCTATTATCCTTTGGTTTCCTAGGTTTCTTAGCTTTTGGAGTGGTCATAGAACCTCTAGCTTGCCTTTTCTTCGATTGGCCACCTTCCTTTTTAACAACTAATTCTTCAATTCTATCCACCTTCTCTTCTATTGATGTATCAGGTGGTTGTATAATTTGCAAGGATGGAGGAGCTCCTGATGTTTCTGGAAGAACAGCATAATTAGGATTTGTGGGCTGCATATTAAAAAACCTATCTCTCTGGCTTATCCAATTATCTCTGACATAGTTCATTGGAATTGGTGGTTCTGAAACAACACAATCTCGAGGATGAAAAGTTCCATTTGCACCCACTAACATAGTTGGATCACGACCAGGCAAAAATGGTTTTGTGTCACGATCTGTCATACCAGACATAAGCTGCAGTCCAAGATGTCCACCTTTGAAAGGTTCATAATAACCCCAATTGGACATGTTCAACATATCATCATCCATGACAACTACAGACAACAGGAAAGAACAAAGGATCATAAAGTTTCAAAATATGTCTTTTGCTTCTTTGAGTGTCCATAATTAAAATCTTAAAAAGGCAACATATCCTGGATGCAATAAAGCCTATGAACTTAATAAGAGAAAATAAATTAACAAAACAGAAACACTCTTGATTAACCACTTTAACATGGAAGCCAAACACCATACAATTTGATTGCAAAATGAGACAATACTAAGATGAAAAAAATTGAAAATTTCCGATATTATCAAATTCAAATTACTAAATCCGGCTTAAGTATGTCTAGATTTACCATTCCCAGGTGAAAAAATCGAAACTTGGTCGATTTAATCACCACAAAGTGGAAAGCCCGCGATCTGAATGTCGTTGTGTTTCCTACATTTTCCTAGGAACCAAACAGAACACAAAGAAAAGGGTAGCATGGCGTGCAGATCCCCAATTCCCATTTAGGGTAAACAAAAAAAAAAAACAAAAACAAATTCATATAACAAAATATTTATAAGGAGGTTTCAACGGTAGAAGAAGGACCCCATCTATTCAAATTTTTATGGAGAGAGAGGGAAACAGAAAAGAAAAGAGAAAGAGAAAGAGAAAGAGAGAGAGAGAGAGAGAGACAGGAGAGAGAGAGAGAGAGAGAGATGCGATAGGAGAGAGAAAACTTACTTGGTGGGTGCAAACGGTCTTTAGGGTTTTCCCTTCTGGAGAGAGAAAGATGAGAGAGACAGAAATCTGAAAGAGAGAGAGAAAGAGAAAGAGAAAGAGAAAGAGAGAGGAGAGAGAACGACCTAGCAATATGAATTGGGAGAGAGAAACGGTGCTAAAAAATAGTGGATGTTTTTGGCACAGTCATTTTTAAAGAATATTAGAAAGTCCAAAGGGATAATATGTATCTTTTGGAAGGTGCTAAGCACGTAAACAAAAAGATATTTAAAAATTAGAAAGAGAGAGTTGAGGGCCTTGTAGATGTGGACAACATAGATTGTGATTTGAAAAGAAAGAAAATGTTGGGCTTTCAATAGAAGTTGCCTTCTTCATGCCACTTTGTCTCAACCCATTGAATATTTAACTTTCATGTCAAACTCAATACCTTTTAAGTAAGATCGTTTTATTATACGGATATATTTTTCTCAAAATGAGATAAATTATTTCATGCAATACATAAAAAAGTAAATAGAATTCTTTTTTTTATTTTTCTCTTTTCTTTTTAGTGAATCTCACTCACTTTTTTATATGTTGCATGAGACAATTTGTCTCATGCAATATGAGAAAAACATTTTCCTTTATTATAAGGTATTTCAACTAAAATACTAGAAGCCGAAAGAAGTGGATCTTCTCAACAATGTTATTAAACTCAAATCATTCATCGTTTCAATCAGAGTACCAAGTTAGTAGGTCATTAGTTGAACTGCATGATCCGAATATATATAAATTTATATTTTTAAAATTGTTTTTTTTTTTCAATTTCATTTGTATTTTGATCATCCTTTCCAACTTCCAAATAACAAGAATGCCTCGCTATTGCTCCAATAATTAAGCTCATGAATGTGTCGGTCTCAGATAAAATACTGAAGTCTCTTGCTCATTTCAACACACCTTTCTCAAAACCAAAGTTTCAATTCTTGTTCAAAATCCACGTAACCAGCTGAGGCAGCATTGTAAAGAAGCCATACACGATACTCAAGCATGAGATTCCTAGCAACCTGCGAGCAACAATTAGCGACATCTTCGAACTGTGTCTCATCATCACACACGGTTTTAAGGCAACAAATTGGACAAAGTGAAGTTAGCTTTATGCGGAGATTGGTACGTGTCAAGGTGTAAGAGTTCCACCACCAAATCATAGAGGCCATTTACTGCAGCCCAATCAATGGGTGATGCGTACCACCATTGCTCTCCCATGCTCTTCCAACGAAGAGGAAAGTACGAAGGGGGCATTGCATACCACAAAGTCACTTGGATGAATAGAGTAGAAATATGCCTCCCTCTTGCAATGACAGTGAGACTAAAGTTTAGAAGAATAGAGAAGTGGTTTAAAGGTAATAGTCTCACATCGTTCTGAGTATGAAAAAAGTCACTCTTTATATTTTGTGTAGCTGCACTGTGTAAAGTGAATAAATTGTTAACGATCGCCTTCCATTGGTTAGCGAATCGGGATTGAACTAGACAGTAGATTTTGCAGCTAACACGCTAAGTCAAAGCAATTCTTTTATAATCGGGATGAGCGATTTTTCATTTCACCTTCCCAATAATATGTCTGGAAAATTTTGTTTACTTATGTTTTATCTTATTTAAGTGTCAAAATGAAAAAAAAAAAAAAAATTACTTTTTTATTGGGTCTAAAATATTTATCGGTAATGTTAAATCCTCAATTACTTATTTAAGAACGGATATCACTTTGGGAAGAAAGGATATAATCTTTTTCTCATCAGTTTCACATCGGAGGCATAAAGCCTAAAAGTTGCACCTTGGGAGGTATCATCCCAAAGCTATCCTCCCACCATTAATTTATTACAAACACGCAAAATCAGGAAAGATTCAATCATAATTATTTATTCTTTAAGTATTATCATCTCTAAATGAGTTACTCAAGGTCATTATAATTTTCCAAAGTATCATAACTCAAACAACTATTATCATAAATTTTTGAATTTATATAACAATTCAAATCTTCAACATTCATCATAGTAAAATCCAAATCCAATCATCATCATAACTCTCCAATTTATTCAAGGATATGATAATTCAAATCTTCAACATTCATAACAGTAAAATCCAAATCCGATCTTCATCATAACTTTCCAATTTATTCAAGGATATGATAATTCAAATCTTCAACATTCATCACAGTAAAATCCAAATCTGATCCTCATCATAACTTTCCAATTTATTCAAGGATATAATAATTCAAATCTTCAACATTCATCATAGAAAAATCCAAATCCAATCATCGTCATTCAAATAATCCCATCACATCAATTATCATAGTTATTAATAATATAAATATTCAAATTCAATCATTAAAACACATATTTGGAAAGTTTTTCTTAAAGAGTAGTATAATTCCATAATTTTCATAATTATTCAATAAGATCCATATATTGCAAATGAATTAAATCTTATACCATACATTGCACATAATTATAATTTCTAAAATAATAACATTTTATATCATATATTGCAATAATCATAATTTCTAAAATAAAAGTTTATATCATATATTGCACATAATCATAATTTCTGAAATAATAGAAATTTTCCAAAAATATTCTAATTATCATATGTAGTAATTTAAATTTAAAAAAAAACAAATACCTATATATATAAAAAAATATTCATACAAAAATACTAAGAACATCTAGGGATTAAGATTACATCCAAGTTTTATGTAAAAGAAATAACCTACGAATAGGATTACATATACCAAAATTCATATCAATATAATCTATGACTCTCTAAGGATTAGGATTACCTGATCTCCGTTTTCGCTAACTTCTAGAAGAAAAGAGTAATTTGGAGCAGAGAACCGGTTGGTAACCAAGAGGAGAAATGTTGAAGAGTGAATTGGTTTGGTTAGGCTAGACCTCTATTTATAGTTAAAGTTTTGGGCTCAGATATGGGTTTCGTGAAATTATTTCCTTATTCTTTATTGATGTATTTGACTCAGATATTGGCTTCATACATTACTAACTCAATGCTGACTCATCATATCTAAACAATTTATGTTTGTTGACTCATCATATCTAAACAATTTATCAATCAAACATTACTAATCAAACATTAATACATAAATCATCAATCAATTAATAAATCAATTAATCATAATTATTGCACAAAATAATAATTTTATCAAAGGTAAAATTAATATTATATTTTGTTATCTATCACCATAATATATAATATATATATATATTATTACTACTAATTTATAGTTTATTATTATTATATTATCATTATTATTATTATTTTATTAATAAAAATATAGGGTATTACACTTGTATTCTCTAATTGAGAGACATTATATAAAGGGAATTAATTATCTCATGCAACATAAGATTGATAGATCCCTTATATAAAATGCAGAGTTCGATCTCCACCGATGCTTTGTCTCCTTCCCATTGACCATCACTACCCCTCTCTTTTTGTAAAGACTTTTGTTGGTACCAATAAGGAGTAGGCCAGCCTTAGACCCAAATATATATGGGTTTGCATTTTGTCATTTAACATGACACAACAAACTTTCCTTCACACACAACATTTTGTGAGTCCTACACACTTGTTAAGATGCTCTTGAACCATGATGGTCCTTCCATTCTCTCTCCTCTCTTCTCAATTTCTCTTTCACTCTCTTTTCTCCACCCCACCCAATTCCTTGCGAGCCGAGAGTGCCAAATTTCATCTCTCACTGTGGGATGATCAGGAGAAACAAGCTTTATCACATTCGGAGAAGCTTTTCCACAATTAGAAGGCAAGACCATCAAATTACAAGCTAGCAACATTACTATTGTGCCAACTGCCAAGGCTCCTTAACTTTCAAGAGGATTGGTACTTTTCGACTGAAATTTTTAATTTGAGTTTATTAGTTCCAACAAGGGTTTTCAAGACTATTTTAAGGTAACGATACTTTCATAAGCTTACATTCACACACTCCTTGTATACTTCCATATATCAATGATTCAACTTATACACATACCTCACATAGTTATGCAAGTATGTTTTCCCAAATTTAATATGTCAAGACAAGTTTTCATAGAGCTATGGTCGATTCCCAAACACGTCACCTTTCCTAAATAATAATTTCTATATGTTGGGCCAAGCCCATTTAGAGTTGCATCCATGTGTTGGTTAAGGGATTTGGACCTGGACCTTTGTGTATTGGGCCTTAAGAGTATTTGGCCCATGACACTTGTCCTCATCAACTCTTACTCTCTAAAATAATGAAGCATTTTCCTAAATTAAAGGCTAAGTGTTAGTATCAATGATGGGAAGTGCGGAGTCTTGAGATGGATCCTATGTTGGAGATACCATAATTTGCTTATCAAAGCAGAAGATGCGGTGGCTTATAACACAAACAAATAAACGACACTTTTAAATTTTCAGCCACTCTTCAGGTCTTACGACGTTTGTTATAGGAGAAATTTTTATTTGTCTGGAAATCTCGAATTTCAAAAATATAATTTTTACATTCAGTTTACGATAATATCTGAAAATTTAAAATTTAGAAAAATTCAGTTTTCCGAGAATCCTACGAAATGTCGCGTACCAAACTGCCCCTTAAGTCATTCTTTGTTGTTAGGATTCAAAGAAGAAAATAGGGAATGCATTGAAAAGGCAAAAAAGAAAGGCTGAGATGATCATGATAAATTGGGAATTTTCAATTGCTGGAAATCTTGATTAGAAAGTTGAAGCTACTGTACTATGCCATCTTGACTATACGTTCTTGTTGGGCCCTACTGTCCTGGTGTTGGGTAAAAGGGTAATCTTGTTGATATTCCCTAACTTTACTGGGGCAAAAGAATAATCTTGGTGAGATTCGTGATGGATCCTCTCAGTGGTCTTGGTCCGTCTTTTCTATTTTGTACAATGTTATATGCAGTCTATCATTATTTCATTCCATAAGTAATGAAACAAATCCAAGCATTAAACAATTAAAATTAAAATTATTCCCAATACCATGTCTTCTTGAATGTGTTATCTTTTTACAGAGTCAAATCAAATATTTAACTGTTAAGAATGCATTATAATGGGAATTTTAGGCATGAGCATTAGTTGGCC